CGTTATCAGCAGCTGTTTTTAAAGCATGTTTTAATTTTTCGAAACCTTCCTCGTCATTTTTTTGCTGGGATGAAAATGTCATCTAAATAAATAACTAAAGTTTTATCTTTAATTAACTCTCTAAAAATCTATATCTCTAAAAAACACTAGCACTTGTCTTCTGAGTTGGGTTCAATGTAAGAGGTTAATAAAATACAAAAAATTTATTGCAGAGAAATCTTTCCAAATCTAATTCAATAACACACAACGGTTAAAAATACCATTTTCTAAAAAGGGATAAATAATAAAATTTGAAAAAGAAAATATTGCATTGCAATTTAAGATAGAAAAAATATTATAATAAAGAAGAAAATAATTTTTTCTTTTGAAAAGCTAACGATTGATTCTGTTTATTTTGTAAAATGATCAAGTTAGCAAATGGGTAAAAAGAAAAGAAAAATTATAACAAACAAGAAAGAGAAAAATGGGAAAAACAGTTTTTTTAATTGTAATGCAATTTTTTTTCTTCATATTATTTAAACTAAAATTTTTTTAAAGAATGTTACTACGTACTTAACAAAGAAAAATCTAAGTAAACAAGCTTAAATTCATGCATTTCTTTTTATTAAAACTTATTTATTACACATTATTTTGATGCCTATTATACCTTTAAAACTAAAAACTTTTAGTGATATAAAGTTACGCATTTTATTAATTACAAATATAAAGTAAAGTAATTATTACCAATAATAGAAAATAATAAAATAATCATAAATATAATAAAATGCTTATAAATTAAAAAATGTTTATAAATAGAAAGTTATAAAATTTTGTCAAATTCAATAACCCTTATTAATTAAAACTATGAGCTCTCGATAATATATTTATAACTTCAAAGTTTCATAATCTAAAGATGAAATTTCTGAATGAAACAATCACACTTATTTAAATACATTCAAAATATGAATTTTATAAAATTTTATAAATATAGATGTATTTGATTTTTAATCTGTTGTTATTTTTTTATTTTAAAAATATTTTTATTTTTTTGCAAACTTTTAGCAAATATGTGTTTATTATAAGTGAATCAATTATCTTATAATAAACACAATAATGCCAACAAATTTAAAGCAAATATTACAAACTAAATTCTTGAAGAAAGATCAAAAATTATAATAAATAGATATTTTATTTTAGACTACGTAATTGTTAAAATGAAAGGAGAATTCATCCCCATTCCCTATCAGAAAAAACGCACCCCTCTAGGAACTCTGAGAAAGAGGTCACAACCCTCTAGCTAAAGGATTAAAAGATAGAACGATTAAAAGATAGGCATAAGCCATTGGTCACTTTCTTATAACAATCGATACTCAACGTTTCTTTCTAGGGGGAGGTTCCAAACCTTGGTTTGAGGATTGGGATTCCCTTTACCGCTCTCTTCGGGGGTAACGTGTGAAAGATTTTGTTATACTATATCATTTAAGGCGAATTGACTCTTGTGTTTAATGACGTCACCGTCCGCGCTCGAAGGCTGCGAGTTTAGACGTCCCGTACTTTACTTACATAACACTAGAGCTGCACAACGGGCTATTGATGACGGTCTGGGAAACATCCCTGAGGATGATCCGAAAACATGCCATTTCAATTTTGATCCTTCCTCTGCTGAGGTGATTTCTCCCCTGCTTTGGTAGCCCTATGACCTGCGAGCGAAGTCGAGCACATTACGGTAGAACAGTTTAACGAGGACCAATACCGCACATTCTCTGTCCCTACGCAGGATGATTAAAGTGGTCATTCATCCACTTCTTGACTACAGCCAGTAATACTTGACTTAGTTGTTCTACTGGGAACCGTGACTTTACGGTCAATTCACTGCGAGACCAATAAAGATTGTTGTTGTAGTTAATTTACGTTGCACTAGAGCTGCACAATGGGCTGTTGGCGACGATCTGGGAAGCATCCCTAAGAATGATCCGAAGACAAGCCATCACAATTTTGATCTCTGCAGAAGGGATGGCACCCTCGCTTCTGTCGCCCAACGACCTAGACGCGAAGTCGAGCACTTTACGGTAGAACAGTCCAGCGAGGACCAATACCACACACCCTCGGTCCCTACGCAGACTGATCCAAGTGGTCACCCACCCGCACACCGACCGCAGCCAGCGATGCTCGACTTAATCTGCTGGGAACCGTGTCCTGATCAGTTCACTGCTGGACGGACCAATAAAGAGAGAAACCCAACGGATAGTATTTTCAATATAAATGTAAACAACAACAACTCTTAACTTGCTCGAGCTCTTAACCTGCTCTACTTCCGGTTAGAAAGTATTATGCTGCTTATTAGCTGCAGCTTATTCTGTGATATTTTCAAACAGATATTTTTGTTTTGAATAAAATAAATAAATTATATAATTTCTGAGCTCAGATCTGCTGTATTTCAATAGATATTAATGATATTAAGTATTTCTGGGGTGTTTGAAATGAAAATTTGTTTTAGTTATTTAGAGGAGTATGGATGGTGTTTTCTACACTAGGGAACGCTGCAATCTCGGTACCGCTTAATATCCCGGGTTACTGTTTCCGTTGTATTTTAAAGCTATTTGTCGTCCTTGTGTATTGAGATTCTTGCAAAAAATGTGGTTGATTACTGATTACTTGTGTTTGCAATGCTAACGATACTTGTATTTACAATGCTAAAAGTGTTAACACTAACCTAAGATGGTGCACAGCTTGCAACAAGAACAAACAGTAATAAACTTATGGAAAGAGGCCATATCAAGACTGCCAAAAAAGTGAGTTATTCAAATTCTAGCAACCATATCACTTTTTTCTTAACAATATATCTCTAAATAACTAAAACAAATTTTCACTTCAAACTCACCAGAATTACATAATAACATTAATATCTTATGAAATACGGCAGATTTGAGCTCAGAAATTATCTAATTTATTTCTTTTATTGAAAACAAAATTATCGGTTTGAAAATATCGCCTCGCAGAATAACATGTAGTAAGCAGCAAACTTTCTAGCCGGAACTAGAGCAGGCATACAGTTCGAGATTGTTATTGTTCACATTCCTACTGAAAACACCATCCATTGTTAAAAAAGGTGTTATGGTTGCTAAATTCATAAGGAACTCGCTTCTTGGCAGTTTTGATTTGGTCTCTTTTACTTGTCTATTACTGTTTGTTCTTGTAGTGCAAGCCGTGCACCATCAAACGTTAGTGTCAGCATATTGTTCGAGCAGCGAGATTAAGTACATTTTACAAATTATCATTTAGGTTTAAATTTCGATTGTATGTTCGTTGTTACCAACCTTGGTATGTTGTTTAGCAAGGAAAAAAGAGTTTTATAATAATTCTTTTCTCGAGTGACAATTCTTGTGTCTTTAAATGACAGGTCTTCAAAGGACGATTCATTAAAACGATTCAACTTTTAAATACAAATAATAAATCAGGTAACAAATAACATACACAAGAAAGAGAGTCTCAAAACACAATGATCACGTTGTGAGCCAAATGGCTTCATAACACACCAAAAACAGTAACCCGGAAGTCTAGGCTGTCAAGAACTTGTAGCGCTCTCTAGTGTGGAAAACACTTGTAGTGAACAATTGGCGATCGCAACACTCAAATACGCCATCTAAGGAGAGACCGATTTCATGCCTTTAGCCCTTCTCCCTTCCCTCTCCGTCCAGCAGTGGACTGACCGTTAAGACACGGTTCCCAGCAGATCACCGAAGTCAAGCATCACTGGCTGCGGGTGGTTGACCACTGGGATCAGTCTGCGTAGGGACCGAGGGTGTGCGGTATTGGTCCTGTGGCGTAACTACTACTATAAATATTAAATACCAAATCAACAGTGTATAAGGCATGTTAACTTGATTCTGTCAAGAGGTACCTTTTGATAGATGACGGTTGACATAGTCATTTCAACATAACTTTCTTCAATGGTGACCAGCGGACGTGATATGAACTCGCTAACATGATGGATGGTCCACATTAAACAGTTGATTTGCTAAATATAAACTGCTCAAAGTAAAAAAAGAACCGGTGAAGTAAATAAAGTCTCCCGGTAATAAACAATATATGGAAAAAAATGTGCGAGACGCTATAAATAAGAAAATGAAGAAGAAGAAAAATAAGCAAAATGCTATATACAAAAAAAATGAAGAAAAATTATAATGAGCAAAAATTGATATAAATAAATAAACAGCATGAATCAACTAGTGGAATCCGTTAATCGAATTCTATCACAGATGAAATTCTGGAAGGGGAGTACTGTGGCGTAACTACCGCTATAAATATTAAATACCAATTCACTAGTATATAAGACATGTTAACTTGATTCTATCATGAGGTATCTTTTGATAGATAAAGGTTGACGTAGTCGTTTCAACATAACTCCCTTCAGTCCTCGTTAAACTGTGCTACCGTAAAGTGCTCGACTTCGCGTGCAGGTCGTCAGGCTAATGAAGCGGGGGTGCCATTCCCTCTTCAGAGGATCAAAATTGTGATGGCATGTCTTCAGATCATCCTCAGGGACGTTTCCCAGACCGTCGCCAATAGCCCATTGTGCAGCTCTAGTGTGACGTAAATGAGCAACATCAACACACCTTCCCTCTCCTCCTCTTTTCAGTTGTATAGGAATGTACTACGATATTTTCCCTTTTCTTAATATTTTTCCTTTTTACTTAATAAAAATATTTTTAAAATTTCCTTGATACTTTTCTTTACAGCTATGTTTAATGTATTTTTCAGTTCCATATAGTTTTCCAAGTTAAAATATTTTAATCTATATGAAAATCACGAAAGAAACCAACGTACTTCCTTCCTCTATGACTTTCCACACGCTAATGGGGAAGGCATGTGAGGTGTTGCCATAGGTAGAGAGTTCTGCTCTACGCCATCTGCAGCCCATTTTGTTAAGACAGTTGTTTCGGATTATAAAATTAAGTTTTCATGTAATGGCAATTTAGTTACAGCGCGGCGAAACCGAAAGTGAAATTTATTTTATATCCATTTATTTTTTATCAGATGTTGGATTTATTTTTCGTCAAATTAACTTTGAAAATTATTGCTAAGTGAATTATATTTTCTTCCTCTAAAATTGCATCTGCAGATGTTATAATTCCCCTAATCATCTTTGACTTGTAGTTTACATAAATTTTAATTTGTGCCACCTATTGAGCTTTCGCGTTTTGCATTTATAGAAATACTGTGTAACGTGCATTAATATTCTTTAATTTAATGAGTTATTCGCATTTTTTTGTAAATAAATGATAATGAACGTAATTCAGTGACAGCGTAAGTGTATAAGTGTCACTAAGTCGAAATGCATGTTTCCGCTTTTAAAATTAGGGAATTTTCCCTTTCTTCGTCTTGCAATTCTTATATCTGTGTAAGATTTTTTAATCTGTTTTGCTATTTTTATTTTAAATGTTTATCATTATGAATTTTAAAAATATTTATTAAGTTTACTAGCTTTCTTTCGCTTAAGATTTGTATAGTATATTGCCGCTTAAGATTCCTAAGACAGATTACTCATTCATGTTCTGCTTGTTCCAATAATGTGAGTTATGGTATTACCTGATTTACTGTAAATAATTAGAACTGGCTAAAAAACTCATCTGCATTAATTTTTTACAGCAACCTGAAACTGTCTATTTTCTTAAAGTGCTTTAAAAAAGAAAAATGAGAATGTTTTGCACTTTTTATACTGGGGATAGCAGGCGATAAACTACAGATTCTCTTACCAATTTATAAATGTAATTTTTTTATGATGATCGATATTAACATTAGTACAAATATCTGCAGATCATTTTAGAGTTTTCTGAAAATTTGCATTGTGCACATGCATCATGCCTTTGATTAGTAAACAAGAAAAAAATAGCATAAAGTTTAATTTTAAACTTTTATCTTAAATGTACATAAATAACATTTAATATATAAGTTAAAATCCAATTTTAATTAGAGATATTTTGAATGGAAAATTTAATTTTTTAAACAGGAGATTGTTGATAATACTGCATATAGAAGGGTGGAGATTATTATTAAGGTTTTAAGAAGGCGAAGATATTGAAATTGTAGGAGCATACTATTGTGAGCTAAAACAAAAAGTTTTTTTTCTTATTTAGTCAAACTTTTTTATTGACCTGTTTTGTGAATTGATGTGTCATTTGAAGCATTAATTTACTATGAAACAGGAAGCAAATTCACTCTCTTTTTATGTTACCCATAATAACTTATTATAATTGAATTTTTTGTAAAATTTGAAGATTTATGAAATTCAATACTTTCTGGTTTGTCAAGTGAAATTAAATTCACTCTTTTTTAAAGCAAAATGGCCATTTAGTTTTATAAGAATCACAATGGCCATTACAGTCTTATATTGAATTGATTTTATATGTTTATTAGATAAGTTTTCACTTCAAATTTTGCTTTCAGAATTAAAATTAAAGCATTTAGAAAAGAAGTCTCCAAAAAAAAAAAAAGTTTAGGAAATTATTTGTGCTATTTATCAAGTTCCATCTCTCGACAGACAAAAAATCATTAAACATAAAAAGACTTATAGCAGAAATCAAAGATTTTAATTTGATGTCTAGAATTATTTAAATTGTCAATAAGAACAATTTGTGTAATTTTTTGTTCAAATTTTTTTTTAGTTATTGTAAACCATAAATCTGATTTTTGATGCATCATAAAACAGACTTGTTATTACATGAAAAGTAGTGTATAGGCGGGAGTAATCAACATATTGGTCCCAAGTCTATGCTTGGAGGGTTAAAAAAGCTTGTTCTTTTTATTTTTGATATTTATTTATTATTTACTGTAATAATTCTGTTATGAATTAAGTAATCATGAAGGATATTTCTGTATCGTGATCTGCCACGCTAACTACAATCATCTAAGCATCAAATTGATTTGAAACGGGAAAATTTTCAGGCGTTTGCCCGGAGAAGACTACTAGTTATACCCATTGAGTTGATCCCTTTCTGTGATGTTTTTTTTTTTTCTTTAAGTTTCCGCTGCAAGGAAGTTGCCAAGGCTTGGCGAATCTGCCATAGATCAGGATACGGAAATCTTCCTTAATCAAGTACAACTATATAAAAATCATTAAAAATAATTTTAAGTGTCACAATTTTGTTTGAAAATGTTTTTGCTATTAAATTATGAGTTCTTTTCACATGGTCCTGATTGGAAAGATTTTGCTCCTTATCGTAAATTTAAGTGTTATGACACTTCTTTCTAAACCTTAGAAGCTAAATAATATTTTATTTTGAATGTTAGTAAAGTTTTACTAAAACTTTTTGGGGGTAGTATAGGTTCTAGAGAACTATTATACCAATATTTTTCATTCCAATGTTTTCTTTTTGCATTAATTGTTAAACAAGAGGTATTTGTTACTTAGATTTTTACTAATGTTTTCTGTTTAATAATGTGATTTTTTTTTCAGGTTTTCTCATTCTGATACAATGGATAAGAAGTCATTTCTACAAAGATTGTCCGAATCTAATATAAATTCTTTTAATTATGTAATTGAAAAGGGAGCTCGTGATTGTTGTATGGTTAGTATTAATTTTTACATTAACCTATTAAAATTATTTATTAGAAATTTAAAGTCTTTTCTTTTTGCATAATGTGGTTTTATTTTAAAGATAAGGAATATTATTTTTAATACCATAAATACTTCTATTCTATAATTTAACTACGTACATTAAATAAATAAAGGAAACTGGGGTTAGTTGATCTATTGTACAACTGATATTTCTTTACTCTGAAATTACAATCTCTGCAGAATCCAAATCATGAAAGGGAAACTCTGTTTTGTTTTGCTCATTCCTTCTAGAAAATTTCTTTTTGGTGCAGGTGTTATTATATCTTCTTTTTCCTATCATTTTTATTTCTTCATATTTATGTTAACTATTATTTTGTCAACAACGAAATGGCTCCCATACAAAATATGAACAGCAAATGTATTAGATCTAACATTTGACTTTTGGAATTCAGACTTTAATTAATAATGAGTGAAATACAATATATGTTATGAAATATATATAATATACATAATTTCAATGAGATATATGTAATTCATTTTACAATCTTATTTGTTGTAGATATAAATTAAAATAATAATTTTCTTTATTTTTTTTGCTATTTAAACAGAAATAATAAATTGTTCATTTTTTTATTATCTAACAAACAAATAGGATATTGATCCTGTCTTGACTGATACTTCGCCCTCTGTGAAAATATCCATTTGTGTAAGTATATTTGAGTCATTGTAAAAATAAAATAAAAATTCTTCAAAATTTATTGTTTTCAAATAAGTTAATAAAGTAAAAGCTAATGTTTGTGTTCATTGAATATTTTTCCATAACAGATGTTATCTAACAAACAAATAGGATATGTAGTACTTACAATGAGCTCTTTTTTTTTTTTTTTACCCGAACTTGTTAAAGAAATATGCTACTTCAGATAAATTTCGAGAAAAAAAATTCCAAGATAACTTTGGCAGCAAGTGCACCTGCACAAAATTGCACTTTAAAAATAAATTATATCTGGTAAACTTGTTCCTAACTTTTTTTGAAAATACTGAGTGTTGCCCATTTATTTTTTTAAATATTTTAGAGAATTAAAGAAAAATGTTGCGTAAAACAAAATTTTCAAAGCAATGGAAAATTCTGTAATTTTAGCCCTTAGTTTCTCTTGCAAAATGTCCTGATTTTTATTTTGAACCTCTACAAAGGCTGGGTAATTCTATTTGGTTTCTTTTGATAACTGAATTTAGTTCAAGAAAGCTCATATTATTACTAATGGTGTCATGCGATTTTTTTTTTCACTTACATCTAACACATTTTCAGTTCGAATAATTAAAATTCAGCACAATAAATTAAATGTTTTTATCTTTGCTGGTTATTCGCACGTGCCATTTATGCTTGAATGCATTTTTTTTTTTTAAGATGTTTTTCTATTTAGAATTGGTAAAAAGTAATGATTCTTGTAAGTGATAAAAAATGCATCAGTTTTATTTATTTCCTTAATATTCTATTCATCTTAATATACTAATCATCTTTATTTTTAATTTATAGTATGAATTAAAGAAAAGCATTTTCAAACTTTCACTCATATTAGTTTCAAATGTTTATTTATATATATATATGTGTGTGTATATATTTATAGTCTCTTCTATCCATTGCCAATGAAGAAAAGTCAGCAAAAATTGAATTCTCTCTTTGACTCATGACCTAATTCTTGAACTTAATTCTTTGGTACATTTTGCAGTAACATATTACTTTAAATTTATGATTTATTTTTTGCTACTGCCAATATGAAGAAACAAATTTAGCTTTTTTCCAGGGGTGCATTTGATAGTTATATAACAAAATCTTTTCAGGATGCTGAAGTGAAGGCCTTGTCAGCTCCTATGTCACTTCGTAAGCATAAAAAAATTATCTTTCCATCTGAAGTAAGTGTTATTCATTCACTTTTAAGTTGGTTAAATATTAATTTAGACATACTCTAAAAACATAATAATTTTAGGCTCGCATGAGGAAATGTACTTACTATGCAGAACTCCATCTTCATTTACTCTTTGAATCAAATGATGAATCTGTTCAAACAAAAAGAATATTTTTTATTCCATTAATGCTAAAAGTAAGTTATTTACATGTAGTTATAGCAATAAATAAATAATACAGTAGGAGACTGATTATCCGGGACCATCGCTATTCCGGATAACTGATTTTTCCGGTTTTCAGAATCACTACAAAAAGCCGTTTTTTTATTGTTAAACCCAACAAAAAATAAAAAAATATTTAGAAATAATCTTAAAAAAAGAAAAAACGATGAAGTAATACAACTAATGATTATTTCTACAATTATGGTAAAGTAAACATCTTTCAAAAAAGAACGAAAAATCCTAAAATCTTATGAGGAAAAAAAACATTTTTTTTTTAAAAATAGCGGGAAAATTTATCGAATTTCGTTCCGGTTTTTTGGTTTTCTGATTTCCGGATAACGGGTTCTGTACTGCATCACCTTGTTCTCATTATGGTAACCAGAAATAGGAAGAAAAAAAATTTCAAGATGTTTTTCATCTTGTTAAGTTTAGAGACATAATAACAGTTTAAAATGAAAATACTTGTTATAATTTCGCAAACATAGGCTTGATTGTATTATGAACTTTCTAGACTTTGCAGTAGTATATTCACTTGACTTTTTTTAATATTATTAGTAGTACTAGTAATATCTCAATTTTATTTTATTGTTAACATTCACTTAAGTAAAATATCACTGAGCAAGGAGAAATTCCGTTTTGGTTGATACCAAATGAAAAGTTTAGTATATATGTAATGTAAATTTTCTTGAAGTTAATAAAAAGAAGGAAATTTTTATTAATTCATTAATTTCTGTTCTTTTTTTTTTCCAAATGAACAAAATCCTTTATTCATAAAAATTGAAATTATATTTTTATTACAAATTGATAACAATATCAGTATTTTTATAAAATATATTATTAAACAGGTTTAAGTACTAAGCTAAAAGTGTCACAATTTAAGATCTTAATTTTAAATGTTTATCTGACCAATGCATGGTAACCATCCTGAAGAAATCTCAACTTTCTTCATATTTAAGAAAAAATTCTCTTGTTCTTTTTCCCTTTTTGTTTTGTTTTCTAAATTTTTAAAACTAATGTTCTTCATAGTTTATATAAATAAATTTTTAAAAATATAGATTTCCATTCCTAATGTTATGTTTTTTTTTTTATGTTGATTTAAAATTGTATAATCAGAATGTAATGCTTGTCCTGAATAACTCTTTATATTAATTTTTTCTAATTGTAATATTATGCTTCCGTGTATAAGAAGAGATATTCTTATTAAAAAATTTATCATCTAGATCTTATTAAAAAAAATTGGAACATTATATTTATTTGAAAATATAATGTTAGTGATTAAATTTTTTTAAGGAATGAAGGATCATTACATTTTATGTAGTGAAAAAGTATGAATTATTTGAATGCATTTATTATTATGTATTATATCATTATTTACAATTTTTAAATGTAATAATTTAGCAAAATATAACTTTAAATTTTAGTCCGATCTATGCTTGCTTTCTGGAATGAATAAAGAAGAATTGATTGAGGTTCTTGAAGATAAATATGTTAGTATGAACATAACTATTCTCTTTTTGTGGTGCAAGATGTTATTTTTACTTACATAATTTAAATGTAATTTCTTTTATGTTATTTTATTTTATAACAATTTTATTTTATTTTTATAAAAAAGTTTATCAATATAAGACTTAATTTTAAATCTAGAAAGATTTCATAAAAAAAATATATATATATACTATTTATTGCAGTTTAATATTGTTTAATTTATGAATATTTAAATAATATTGCTTTGTCATTCATAAGTTTTCTGATTTTCTTCATTCCATATTTTATGTTAATTTAAATTATCGATGTTGTCATAGGTACAGTGCACTATGCATCAAAAGTCTATATATGAAATTATAGCAATTCCGATTGGAAATTTTTTTTATTTGAAAATTCATAGATTATATTTTCATTAAAATTATGATTATATTAAAAATTATATTGAATCAAATGAATGAATTATATTAAAATTCTGAATATGTTATATACAGGGCAAGGCGTGAGTAACTTTTCTCACTTAATGTCACTATCTTGAAAAAATAGTAACTTTTACTCACTTTTTTTTAAGATTTTAATTTCACAATTCCCCCCCCCCCCCCCCCCCATTTTAATCAAAAGAAAGATTTTACATTTCCATAATATTACCCTTAATATTCCGTAATATTACAATCCTCTTGCTCTAGTAAAGAAGGATCATGGGTGGCGCATTGAAGAGGATTGAATATGTGAAGAAAAATAGACAATTTCCACTCTTAAATGAATTCCTCTTGAAATGCAAGAGAGCCATCCACTGTACTGAGGAATGATTTTAGTCATCATCTATCTTAAGTTTCATTTTCTTATTTGCTGTGGAGCTGCAGAACATGAGATTTTTTGTATGTCTCCTTAAATTGAATTTCCTTTTCCTGTGGGATTCCTTAAATGTGCTTAATAGAGCAAAATTTTGCATCATAGGAATTAAGCACTCTTAAAAATTCTCCTTTTACATTAAAAGTTCTTTTTCTTCAAAAGAAAAAACGTAAATAAAATGTTTACTTTTATTACCCATTTCATTACCAGGCAAAATGGATGTTTTGGGTTTATTTGGACGTCATCACTCTTCAACTGTGTTCAAGAGTAATAGTAAACAGTGTGCATGTGTTGTTATGGCAACTGCCTGATAATTTTTTGGGAATTCTTTTTTTTTTCACTTATTATTTAATTTTGTTATGCATTAAGTTGGTGACTTTAGTTTTGAGATATGGGACCAGAGAGATCCCATATTGCAAATAATTGCAAATGAAAAAGAATTTCATCATATGAATGATATATTTCTTTTTATTGTTTAAATTAAGAATCAAAAATTCTAACTTACAGATGGTAACCTACAAACTGGATTGTTTTCAATGCTATTTCAGGTGAATATTACAAATGAAGAAGGTAAAAAAAAAAGTTAAGACAACAACCATTTTGCCAATAGGTAACCTGTGATCACTGAAAGGCGATCACAATTTTTATTTTTTTATTATTTTTTTTCCCCTGTCCAAAAATTTTATTCTTTTTTAATAAGATTGAGTAATCTCTTTTTGACATGTAATTTCACACCGTTTGATGTTTTTTAAAATTATTTTTGACGTCAGTTGTTATTAAGAATTTTTTCAGTCCTTTCTATGTGGTTTTTCAAATTGTGCTGTTTTTTATACAATGTTATGACACACGAATTTCAAATTGATTCACCCAATTTACTTGGTTTTATTATCGTTTTATCAGTCAAATGATTGACAAAGTTCTGCTAATATTTTTTTCTGCCAAGGTTTTTTAAATCTCCATATTTTAATTAATACAATGTTTATTATGTGACATGTATTTCAGTAACAACTATTTGTTAATGACTTATTCAAAAATCGTTCTTGAACATATTTGATTTCATTGCGATTTCTTATAGTTTTATTTCCAGTGTTTACCTTAGGTGAATTTTTATAATTTTTTCAGCCCTTTCCTTGGGGTTTTTTAATACCATGTTATTATTACTTGGCTTTTTCATCTTAAAGTTAACTTTTTTTACACACTCGATTCAGGGCGATTATGTTTTAAATTAATGTTTTCTGACAGTTTTTGCATTAATTTAATTTCATATTAATGCAGTGTTATATTTTTGATTAATGCGATGTTGTACTGAGAATTTGTTAATGATTTATTCAAAAATCACTTTTAATGGTTTGATTGTGATTCCACTTTTTTTTCCCTGAGAGTTTTTTCAGCCATTTTTTTTTTAAATTTCATTTTTTGTACAGTGTTATTGTATATGCATATTTCGAATTTTACCCCTTTAGGACAATGATCACATGTGTCCAGTTTCGCACATATTTCCAATTTCGATACTTTTAATACAATATTATTATTTTTTATTTCATTAATCACTTTTTGCTACATTCTTTGCGCCATTTGTATTGTAAAAGTACTTTTACAATAATAGTTATTTAAAGTTTTTTTTTTCAGTAATAACACATCGTTTCTTGACACCTGAAGAGAAGCACATCTCAATAAATGTGTATTGACTTTACATGATAGCAACAGTATTTTTGTTATATACTTTCACTGCTTCTTTAATATAATACTTTAAGTCATAAGTCAAACATACAACTTTTTTTTAGTGGGGAAAATTGGAAAATATTTATAATGTAATTTTTTTTTTTAATTTTTCTATAGCAGTAAATTAAAGCAATAAATAGTTAAAACTATTAATGTTTCTTAACCAATTTTTTTCCTTTAAGTTGTATATTTTTAAGGTTATTAGGATGTTGCTTGAATATTAACACTGCTTTTAATTAAGTCACAATTGATCACTTTTTAAAAAATTTCAGTCACTTTTTCACTACTTTTTTTATTATGAGCCGCGTTGAGCCCTGTATATATATTGTCAAGTCTCAGTAGCTCAGTGGTAGAATTCGCTTCTATAAAGCAGAAGGTCCTGGGTTCGATCCTGGAAGCGGACACTAAATTTTCTTATTTAATTTATGAACATTCCAGAATCTTCTGGAATGTTCAGGTTATGTCATTTCCTCTTTAGTTGTTCCTAGGAAGTTTCTAGAACATTCTATTCTAGTATATAAGCGATCCCGTCATTGTAAAGAGGAGTTCTTTTGGGTGCAGGCTTCTATAAAGCAGAAGGTCCTGAGTTCGATTCGGAAGCGGACACTAAATTTTCTTATTTAATTTATGAACATTCCAGAAGCTTCTGGAATGTTCAGGTTATGTTATTTCCTCTTTAGTTGTTCCTAGAAAGTTTCTAGAACATTCTATTCTAGTATATAAGCGATCCCGTCATTGTAAAGAGGAGTTCTTTTGGGTGCAGACTGGTTCCCGGCGTTTGAAATTTCTTGACGTTAATAAATTGATTATCAGAACCTCCTCCTGTAATCTGCACTAACACTAAATCTAAACACTTTAATGTGACAATATCTCAATATTTAGTTCACAACATGCTACAAAATTACATTCTATTAAAATATTATGTCATGTGCATCACAACTGTTTCAATTAAAATAAGTAATCTAAATTAATGCAAATATATCTTTTGCATAAGGGTTTTATTGTTGCAAATTTTACAAAAGATTATTGCAAGACGTAGATATAAAAAAAAAACATTTCATTTATATAAATTATATACATGAGAAGGATAAAAACAAATTAATTTAATTTCTTTTTCAAATGTCATTAAAACAAAATGTTTTTTACAATATAAAGTTAAATATGGAAACAAATTTTATGTTATGTTATTATGATTTCACATATAGGTTATTAAATATGTTCCTTATGCATATTTTATTAACAATGTTTAATAGTTATAAATGAAATGATTCTTTTAATATTGAAGTAGTTATCAGTAAATTGAAGTAAAAAATAATAATTGTTAAAAAAAAATTTCTTTTATGCATTTAAGAACTGAAAAATGTAACAAAATTTGTTTTAAATAAATAATTGTGGAAATAATCTAACCCTGCATTGACAGAATTAGTCTGAGTGCTCAGTTTTCTGTAATGATTCTGTTTTCTTATAGGATTAAGTCTTAAAAAATTGACCAAAAAAATGCTACTAACTTTGTCTTGATATGATAATTAGAAACCTCTATGGCAGGCTCTTGTTGATTCTGCTACTTTATAGTACTACTTATTGCAATATTTGCTTCATTTTTCTTCTCAAACTCTTTGGTTTATATTTTTTATTTATTAAAGGCTATTTATTTTATTTAAATTGGTGCTATTTATTTTATATATCTGTGTTTCTAAACAATTAGAAATACTGTAAATTAGGGAAACTTGGGTATGAATTTTTAAATTTTCTTTTTGCTGCATCTAGTTTTTTCCAAATTCTATTGTAGAAGAAACCATTGAGTAAAAAAATTAATGCTTCAAAAGAAATAAGTTTTTTCCTACCTAAAGAACAAATGGAAGAAACTTAAAGAAATATCAAATTTTAAAGAAAAGAAATATCAAGTATTAAATTAAAATATTAATCAGTTCATAATTGCTTTTTAGTTTCAATAATAGTATTAATTAAATAAAGCCATTTAATAAATCATTTTATATAAATGAAAAAACTAAAATAGCTTAAGTTTTTTTTTTTCTATGTTTAATATAACGGAGTATAGTAAAACTTTATTTTATAGTAATATAGAAAAACTTTTAAAATATAATAATTTATATGTTGTCTTTTACTACAAATAACACATATTTATAATTATGAATGTCATATTAATTTTCATTCCCAAGTTAAGGTATGTTTTATAATTTTATTTTTACATACCCATTCAAAAAATTACAAATTAATTATAATTCGTCAAATAAATCTAAGAATTTTGATCCTCAAATCAATGACTAATTGCATAAAATTTCAATTATGTGATTAAGGTGGTCAACTACTTTGAAGTTTTAACCGAATTGAAAATCATTAAAAAATGAAACTTGCAAATTTTGAAATATAAATGTTATAGCAAAGTTTTTTTTGATATAAATGATATAAAATATAATATTTGATAAAAATATAGTTTAAAATATTTTTTACTTTATTTTTGAATGATATCAATTTTTTTTTGAAGAAAATTAGTTAAAAGCGAAATCAAAACCAAAAATTACTAAAATATATATTGCATTAAGAAAATTAGCAATGCCATAATAGTTTTTAAACTTAAGTTTTTAATTAATATTTTACAAAGTAATATTTTAATAATTTTTTGAGAATACTACAATTGTTAATGCTTCACTGGTAGACATTGATATCCATCTTTAAATTAAACCTTCCGTAAACTGAACAGAATATATGTACACGTAATTTATCTAGATAAAAAAAAAAAGTATACATATATATTTGAGAAAATAAGGACAACAGAAATCCAAATTTAAAATAAATTATTATAATAGTAGAAATCTTAAAATTATCTGTAAAACTTAAATAAATAATATAAAATATTATTTTTTTCTTGTACTATTATATTAAATTTTGATTGTTTTAGTTTCGAACTATTCATTTAGTAGTTATTGTTAAATAATTATATGGGTCATTGTTAGTTTTTTTTTTAATTTTGTCCAGTTTCTTTTAAAAGAAATTTCCACCTTGTATAGAATTGAATGCCTTACACTCATATACGTAATTCCCATTCAATTTCACTCCTATTTATTTATTTTTTTGAGTTTTATTGAATGAATTTTCAAAAATAGAATAATTTGTAACGAATGAATATCTCTGCATTAAAATTTTAACCTGTCACAAATAATCTACAAGCTAAAATTCATATATTATTAAAATGCACTTGAAAATGTGAACTTTTAAGCTTTCTCAAAAAGCCAAGAAAAATTGCAAACTGTAATGTGATCTGGTGTATTAAATTTTTCCATTTCTCTACTGTACAAAATAATTACATTATGTAGCTTTTGATTTTCCTCTTTTTTTTTTTATTATTCCTTTAGGATCCTGGTGGCTATTTTATTGTCAATGGTACAGAACGCATCATCAGACAATTTCTTGTAGCTCGTTCTAACTTTGTGAGTAGAATATTAGTATGAATTTATTGTGCAATATTTTATGTGTTAAAAATGTTTTTAAACTAGCATAAGTTTGGTTATTCATTTTATTATCAAAATAGTTTGATATGCTTTTATGGAACAAAGCTTAAATCTTGATATACAAAGTCCCATGTCCAGATATTCTTGACTGGAAGCGTCTGTTTTCATGACACTTTTTAACAATCAAAATAAACAAAACTCATCTTCATTTGTTTTTTTTTTATAATTTTCGTTTCTAATCTGTTAAATTGTTGTTTGCTTTTTATTATAGATGTTTTCAGTAATAAATATCTTTTTTAAAAAAACTTTTTATGTCTTAGATTTTTTTTATTTAGTCCAATTAATTTTTGAAGGCTCTTTTTTAATATTATATTTATTTGATTATCTGCCATGCTAATTATTTACATCATAATAAAAAATAAAAAAAGAAGAAAGAAAAACATATCTCTATTGATGACAGCGAAAGTTCAAATTATCATCTGCTCACTTTTATTTATTTTTTATACATATACATTTTATCACACTACCATAAATTACAGAGCAAGCTTCCACCTATAGTTTCATATGAATATTGACCAGCAATCAAAACCAACTAAGTCCACAACCACAGTTAGATTAAATAAATACATGCTGTGCCCATACAGAAATTAATAAATTTTGCAGACACTTTTTTTAAAATTATCAAGGTTGTGCACACAATTTAAAAAATCAAGTATCCGAATTTGACCCCTGTGATTCGAAGATTAAGAAATTTTGAAAAAACAAATATTGTGATTTGTTTTCTCCTTCTTAAATAAACACTTAACGTGTTTCATATTCACATGATTTAAAAATCTAATAGCATGATTTTTATTATTTTTAGAATCAAATATTGTGATTCATATTCACACGATTATAATATCAAACATCAATTTACATGATTTAAATGTTATGATTTGTTTTTTCGCAATTTAAAAATCGGATTGCTGGATTTGTATTGACGCATCTTTAAAATTCTATATCATGATTCATATTCACAAGTCACAAAATTCAAACATCAAGGTTCATATTCAGTTTTAAGTTCCAACACTGCAATTTGTATTCAGGAAATTTTAAAATTATCGCAGTTCGTATTCAAGAGATTTCAAAATTAAACATTGCAGTTTGTATTCACGCGATTTTAAAATCAAAAATTCGGATACATATTCAGGCGTATCATTTGTGAGCTTTTCGAATTCAATTTACAAATAGTTGTATAGAAATATATTTAAATAAAATCTTTTGCTCTTTCTCTTTATTCTTTATAAAAGAAGTTTTTAATTTATCTCTAATTGCTATTGATGATGCAATCATATAAATTTGAAAAAAGGTTAAGATGGAAGTTAAGTTATTTTTATTTAGCAGATTTTAAAATCAAGCATCGCGATTCGTATTAATACGATTTTAAAATCAATCTTCATTATTTGCATGCATGCAATTTCAGGCACATCATTTGAAGGCTTTCCTAAGTCCAATTTAAAATGGTTGTAAGTAATTATACTTAATTTAAATCTTTCATTCATTGTATTTATTCGTTATAAAAGAATTTTTACTTTCTCGTTAGTTGCTTTTGACAATGCAATCTGAATAATTTGAAAAAGAAGATTAAAGGTGAAAGATAAGGTATTTAACATACAAATTGTTTATTTTAATTATTCGATTCTTGTTTCATTTGATTTACTTTTACCAAATTTAATCAGGTAACTTTTCCACTTTTTTAAACCTTCTGACATTAACAAACTTCTAACCCCACTTTTTTACACCGTTAACCTTCTAACTTTCAGCGGCAGTTTAATCTGTATTACAGTTTTCTCCTTATAATAATCTTTCAAAAATGATAGAAAATAATTTGTAAAATATTTTCTATATTCTTAATCTCATTCTTGATGATGATTCAGAAATGATATCACATCTAATATTACTCTTTGATTAAACAGTTTATTTATTTTTTTTTATTTATCAGAGCAGTTATCTAAAATAATTTTTTTTTTTTTTTTTTTTTTTTTTTTTTTTTTTTTTTTTTTTTTTTTTTTTTTNTTTTTTTTTTTTGTTTCTTAAATAAATATTTATTGCATTGCAAAAATTAGCTGTCTTAGTGTGTATATATATATATATATATATCTGTCCATTTTATTTTAATGCTTTAGCTCATTTAATATGGAGTTTAAATTTTTTTATTCCATTTTTACAGCCTATAGCTTTAATAGATTCGAAATTTAAAAAACGATGTGCAGGATTTACAGAGTATGCTGTTCTGATACGATCTGTGAAAGATTATCATACAAGTCGAGTAAGTATGGCAACAATTTCTTAAAGTTGCTTTTAATCTTAAGATTCCAACTATATAATGAATTAGCCATCTGCAGCTAATAGTTGGTTTGACTACACTAACTCACCTCTTTACAGTTCCACTTTATGTTCATACTGTTACAATTTCGCTGCACCACATCGATTCTGTTGCTGTTGACAGCATTGCCACTTTAGAAGCAAATTAAAGGGATGGGGAATAGGCTCATCGTCTTACCATATAGCTCTCTTAATATTTGCCTACACAAACTCAATGCTATGCAGTTGCACATTTACCCTGCTGCCTACGGCAACATGCGCCAAAAAAATATCCTGAATAATTTTTTAATCAAATGATCAGCCCCTCAAAGGGGTTTACCTTCTTTAGGTAAACACTGGCAATCACGTCCCCGTGGTACCCTAGTGATCTGTCTTCCCTTCGTTTTCTTCTCCCTTTACTTTTGCCTTTCCCTTCCCCCTTGTCGTGGTTGCCATGTTTACTGGTAAGGGCTTTTTATCTATGTTTGATTACCACCCTGTTGTATTGGACGCAGATGGGAAGAGACCGTGTGTTTGCCATGCATGGAGACCTATGTCCCTGGAAAAGGGGATCTTGGCAGTTAAGGGGCTTCCTGGTACCCCAACACACTGCTTTGGCCTGTGCTATAGCCCTTTAAGACCGAGGCCGAACGATCGTGCGGGTCCGTCATTCACTTCTTCTTTTAATTCCTAACCATCCATATGTAATAAACGCCGGATTCGAATGATCGTGCGTGTCTCTGGAAAGTCGAAAGTTTCTATTTTTCTCAACAGATGGCGGGATGAGTTGCTTTGGGAGGTTCAGTCGGCGTTCAATCCATTGTTTACAAGTCACAGCGAAACAGTTCGAGATTGTATCTGTCGTAATTAAGTAAGTTTCAATATATTTTTGATTGCTTAGATACAAATTGTTTATTCAATGTTTAAATAAGTGGAAAATAATAAAACTTATCAATTATACATTACTTTTTTAGCTCCAAGGTGTCATATTTCCTTACCCGTACGATCGTGCGACTTCGGCGTTTGGAAGCTCATCACGTTTGCGGCCAGACGTAAGTTTTTTTTCCTGATAATTTTATTTTCTGTTTGAATAATACCAATTATACCCTAAATTATTACGAAAAATATGAGTTAGGGCAATATATATTTGCATGGGCATCGGCAAGGTGAGGCAGGGAGTGGGAGTGGCTATCCCCCCTGCAGATTTTGAAAATTATCGGATAGTTAAATAATTTTTCGAAACACATTTAATGATTTTTCATAGATTGCTGGGTTTATTTTTACCCCTAATTTAGATTATTATTGCATTTTCAGATGTCTAAAAGGCGTAAATACCTGACGGAAGAAGAAATTCTTCAAATGTTAGCAGCCTCTGATTCTGAGCTGAGTGATCTCTCAGATGATGAGGATATTGACAAGACCTATGAACCCCAGGTATTAGAAGAAGATTTAAGTTCGGAAGAGCATGATGGAGATGATTTTACTGCAATCGCTGACATTTCAGTTCAAGAGAATAGAGATCGTCCTTCGACATCCAAATCGCCTGAACCCATAGATCAGAGTTTAATTCACAAACCACTTGCAGCTTCGACAAAAGTTAAGAAAAAGAAAAAAAGCGAGGTTTATCAGTGGAATAATATAAAATTCAATCCTGTACCTCATCCTGGACCTTTGGATTTTACTCAAATACAGGTATTTGTTTTTCAGTAATTTCAATAACATTTCGAGTAATGAAAATCGGAGGGAAGGATGTTATTTTCTTTTTCTTTTCAGACTCCAGACACAGTAAGGACTCCTTTGCAGTATTTTAGGCAATACTTCCAAGACGAGTTTTTCAAAGACGCTGCTGATTTTACTAATCAATATTCCATTACAAAATCAGGAAAATCCCTGAAAACTGATGCACGAGAATTAAAGGTATTTGTTGCTGCCAATTTGATTATGGGATGCGTAACATTTTCACGCCTGAGAATGTACTGGCAAGCAGAATACAAGTATCCTCCAGTATCTAATATTATTTCACGAGACAGGTTTTTGGCCTTAAGAAATGCTTTCCACGTTGTGGACATTAATAATCCTCCTGGAAACGTCAACGAAAATAAATTGTGGAAGATTCAACCTGTTATTGATGCTGTTAGAAAAGTATGCTTAAGTTTGCCACGTGATAATGTCACATACTCCATAGATGAGCAGATGATACCATTTACTGGACGTTGTTCATTGAAACAGTATGTGAAAAACAAACCTCGACCTGTGGGACTTAAGAATTTCGTTCTTTGTACGTCATCAGGCCTAGTAATGAATTTTGAAATTTATCAAGGAAAATCCACTTCATTGTTTCATCAAGAACTGGGTCTTGGACCTTCAGTCATACTGAGATTAGTTCAAACTTTGCCCCAAGAAAGCTTTGTTTATTTTGATCGGTACTTTAGTACATTGCCATTGTTCAAAAAGTTGAGTGAAATGCATATTTATGGAACTGGCACCATTATGGGTAATCATATTAGCGGTTTAAGACAAACTGAAGGGGCGCACATGGATCGCGGAACTTGCATAGAACATGTTTCAGAAGATAAAAAACTAGCCATTGTAGAATGGAAAGATAGTAACAAAGTTATTATGGCCTCAAATTGTTGCGGTATGGAACCCGTCGAAAAAGTTAAACGCTGGTCAAAAACCAAACATGAATACATTGAGGTACCATGTCCTACTGTGGTCATAAACTACAACCGATGCATGGGAGGTGTCGATATTTGCGACCAACAAATGGAATGCTATAGGACATGGTTTAAAACTAAAAAATGGACTTGGAAGGTCATTCTGCATTTTTTGGACTTAGCGGTTGTAAATTCATGGTTCCAATACCGGCGAGACGTTACCGCGAATAAAACGCCAAAGAAAAATCAAAAGGATTTATTAAAATTTAAGCTAGAGGTAGCTGAAGCTCTTCTCGCAGCTCCATCAGCTCATAGAAGTATTGTGAGTGACGACGAAGAAAGTGACGCTCATGCAGTTCAAGCTCATGCAGTTAAGAGGTCAAAATATTATCATCCTCCAGCTAAAATTCCATGTGAAGATAAAAGATATGATGGTTATAACCATTTCCCACATTGCGACGATATTTCAAGGCCTCGTAAGTGCCGTTATGAAAATTGCAAAAGCGAATCCAAAACGCGTTGTGAAAAATGCGACGTTTATTTGTGCCTCTCCAAAACAAAGACTTGCTTCAAGGATTTTCACTGTACATAAATATAGTCCAAAAATTGTAAGTGATCAATTTGATTATTTGTAAAAGTTTTCAGTTCAATAAAGTATTTTTCTGCGATCTTTATCGTGAAATTGGACATGTGAAGTTTACACAGAAAAAGCCTAACCCGCACGATCGTGCGGGTGCCCCCCTAAGCTTTCGGGGAGTGCAAGATTTTTTTAATTATTTTTTTCAGGGCCAGGGGAGTCAAGAACTACATAAAAAATAGAAATAAAGGTAATTTAAAATAGAAAATATGTCCGGTCTTAAAGGGATAGGTAAACGGAAGGTGCATATTAGCCTTATTCATCAATTGGCTAATCACAAATGTCATCTGTAGGCTTGGGTCATGACCAGGGTCACTTCTTGGGCACCACATTAAGGGTGGAGTCTGCTTCAGATGTGACTTGTGGACATATAGCTATTAGTCCGCATCGATGTTCAAGTAACAGATTGGTCTCAGTACCTATTTGTTATTTGCATCCCCTTAGTTGGACTCCGTGGTGAGTGGTGCGCTAGCTGTGGAAGCGTTTGAAATTTTCTATGGCTGAAAATAGCATGGTGTTACGTTCTTCACACCATAGTCAAAACAGCAGAACAACCTCTTCACCGATTGATTATGCTCGATATTTTCTAATAAAGCTGAATAATCCTACTATACCAGATACGCAATTTAGCAAAGTGTCTCACTTCTGAATACATACGGCTCTTTTCTCCTTACTGGGAGAAAAAGCCTCCATGAAAAAGTTAAGATCAGGTGACCTCTTACAGTGTTTTCATCACAGAAAAAAAATGGGTGAGAATTTCTCACCCTTTCTCAAAAACAGGGTGAGATTTCAAAAAGTTAAGTGAGATTTCTAAAAACTAAAAAAACACAAAAACTCTTGAAAAAAAAATCAGTTCTTTAATTATAATACATTTTTAACGTCTTCTATTTTTTAAAGCATTGAATATTTTTGGTGCATCATCGTAGAAGATTTTGCCTTTACAAGGTATTTGTCCATCTTACATAAGTGCATAAAACATTTGAACGTCTTACATGAAGAAACCTTACCTACGGTAAACAAGAGGTTGCAGAGAAATGTGTTCTGAAAAGGGTTCCGTGGTTGTGTTCTGTAGTTCGAAAAGGTTATGAACAGTACTGGTAAATAGGGAAGCTAGATAATGGGGCAGATGTTGAAAATAATTAAAGATCCAGGAAGAAAAGTGAAACAGATTTCATTCTAAATGGCGTAATTCGAAGCCTTTTCCAAAATGCGAGAAATTCGCGAGTTTTGAAATTGATTTATAGAATGCGCGAATTTCTCGCGGTAATAATTTTTTAATGCGAGAAAAGGAAAAAATATGCGAGATTCTCGCGTTCTCGCGCTGTAGTGAAAACACTGCCTCTTAATACAAGTCTCCTCTACAAAATAAGCCGGTAATACCATATGCACATTCAATGTAACAGTCACACCGATAGCTCTGTGGCGCTTTCGCCGAAAAAAATTTGCCACAAGGATGAGGAATAGAAAACATAGCATTTCTTATCTCAGTGTTCTCCCTAAGTGTTTTTAATAGCTGGGCCCACCCTGTCATCTCTTAAAAACACTTCCTCTTTGTTTTAATATTTCAGAAAACTGTTGTTTCTTAACCATCTGCTTTAATGAAAATTAATTAATGATAATAACTTTTAATTCTTAATTTAATTTCTTCACTTTAATAAGAATTTTCTTATGTTGCCTAGTTATATAGGCAGTTAAAATTTGCATGGTATTCAACCACAGAGATGTTTACGTCACATTTTTTTTCTTTCAATAATTTGGATTACATTTTTTTAAGATTATGTACCGTTTGATCAGATTGTTAACCAGAGTTTGGATTTCTTTAGGAAAAAGTATATTATTTCCGAAACACTGAAAAGAGCAGGAAGTAACTAAAATCTGAAAATGATCCATACAATTGTTTAGCATTAAATATTAATTTAAATTTAAAGTTTCCCTTCATATTTACTCTTAAAGAATATTGTTTTCTTATTTTACTTTTATTCAAAATGTTAAAATCTGTTTAACATATTATAATGTTTTATTTTTAAATGGATTATGCCTTATTTTAGTAAATAAATATAAATATGTACCCGTATATCTAAGATAAATTATGTGCACTTATTATTTTTAGTTTATACATTGCATTTTTTTAAAAAAATTATTAATTTAAATTAAGAATTCAGAGATTAGATTGATTAATTCTTTTTACTATTACAAATATTTTATATGTTAGGATTATTTTCAAATGGTTACATTTTTATTAATTTCTTTTTTTTGGGGGGGGGGGTGTTGAAGGTTTATCAATTAATTTTTCGGCGATTTTAAATTTTTCCATTATTTTTTTAATGAATACCTTTTATATAAAAATGCATATTTAAATGTATGTTTTATCATAATTTTCAGTTTAAAATATTTTTTAAAAAAAAGCTTTCATGTTGTTTATCAATTAATTGTTTTTCTTTTTTTTAGTTCACTTTTTTTGAGAAAATTTATGCACAGAGTTTGTCTTTTAGTTTGCCTTTAATTGTTTTTCAAAAGCTTCAAAGCTTTCAGTTATTTTGATAATGAGTTATAACTACTTTTTGAAATCTACACATAAAATAGTGTATAAACATTTGAGGATCAAATTCAGTTGTTACTTAATATTACATATTTTGATGAATTTTAACAGAGGTGAGTGCCCTTTCAAAACGCAATACCCTTTTATATGAGGAAGCATCCTGCTCTTTTTATTCCTAGGGAGTACTCTTCTTGTGGTCTGTACACAAAATGTTGTAACATAGATTTTTTAAATAAAACTAAGATATTGCGGATAACAGCTATTACTCCTACCTAAATGAAATTCAAGGTACTAGTCTGAAACTTCTACCTAACCAATCAAACTGCATTCACTACCAACAAAACTATCTCAAAGTGGTAGAAAAATCAAGGTCTCAGTATTTATTTGTTAGTAATTAAAACATATTAAGCTGTTTCAGCTATCTGCATGCTAATTTATAAATATGAAATCTTTTACTTTTTTTAGAATGTTTACTTGCATTACATGGATGGTGGTTTTGTAAGGATAGGCTTGCAAGTTCGAAATAAAATGTATTACATACCTTTCATGCTTGTCATGAAAGCTCTTAAGGATGATACTGATCTAAGTATTGTCGAAGAAATTATGAAATTTCGTAATGGAGACAGTCATCTGAGAGAGTAAGAAACCATATAAATGTTCTTATTTTAAATATTTTTGTGCTTAAGCTTGAAGATTTTTTTTCTCACGGCGCATTTCTTACGAATTCCAGTTTCTTTTGAATTGACCGGCTTTATTTAGAAGAAATATAATCATTTTCTTGATAGTTCATGACAACTAAACTTTTAAGTTTCTTGTATAGATATTCTGCACTATTGAAAAACTTATCCTCTGCTCCTTTAAGAGGTTGTTTCTGATTATAAGTTAAGGAAACAATATGTGAAATAATAATTGGCAAGCATAGTATAGAACCAAGGACCCTTAGAATGGTCCTACAGCATGGAAAAAAGTGCATATGTATCATGGTCACTGTGTAAAGCTTCTTGTGTTCCTGGGGTCAGGCGTATACCCCCTTTACCATGATGGTTAGAGCAACATTGTAGTGGGAACATTTTCAATGGACAAATGTTTATAATTTCAATATTTTATGTGTATGTTTTTTATTAATGTTTAAAAATGCTGTGGAAACTTTTATTTCAAACTGAATTTGGTTTTAAATTTTCTAAATTATCAGTATCTTAAATTAAGGTTTTTTCCATTATTTCATAACATAATTTATGCTTTAAAAAAAAGACAGTTATGACGAAATACAAACACCATACATATAAAATTCATTTTTCATACATCTAAACTTAAAAATATGTTTAAAATATAATTGAGAATTTTTTCCAATCAATAAAGAACTTAAAAATTGACTAAAAGTTAGGATTATATCATAAAATTGGGGGGGGAGTTCTCACACATAATCCCTCCACTGTACCTCTGGGTTAGAGTGTTCGACTTCATAACAAAAAGTCTTTGGTAATGTTGGGTGCTGCACTGAATTGATTCCATGATTCAAATCTCCAACTGATTCAAATCAGTTGGTTCTGATCCATTTGATTCGAATCAACGATTGGAATCGATGATGATTGAATCAGTGATTCTAATAAATTGCGATTCGAATCAGTTGGTTTTATCAGAGTAGATTTAAATTATAATGAATTAATGTTTCTTAAATTTCAGTTTTGTTTCACTGTGATGCTATGTTATATATAGTTAAAAATTTTGTCTGAAACCTTAGAGACTTTTATGCATTCATTATTAATGTCTTAAAATTTTTATCAAACAATTCGGTAAATCGACGTTATTTATGGATCTTTTTTTTTTTTGTTAGACAATTGTCTTTTTTCCTGCTATTTCTGTGTGGTTTTTCAATTCCAATGTTTTAGTAATTATTTTCTTATGTGCTCTATTCACAACGATTCCATCTGAAATCCACATAAAGTTCCGATCGTTTTTTCGGCAGTTATTGCAGTTACTTATCATTTTTACAGCCATTTTGACATTTTTAAAAACCTGATATTTTTAATGAATTATTGTAATGACAAGCATTATTTTCAAAATATGAGAATTGCACTCATTTTAAAACAAGTTTACAGAGCGGAATTTTTTTAAGTTAAGCATCTCTTCGAAATTTTATTTGTTTTCTTTTTTAAAGTGATGCAAATTTTTGTGAATCGCAATGCTCCTTTTTGTGTTAGATGTTCTTTTTTTAGGGGCAAATAGCACCCTTTTCTGCTTAAATATCCCTGCCTTTTTTAAGATCTAGAATAACACCTACCTTAATTTCTAAATACGCAGTATTCATTTTATAATATTAATCTGTCTGAAACCTTAATTTGTTTTAAGGTTTCATTCAAGTTGTCGAAATTTTATTTGTTTTCTTTTTTAAAGTGATGCAAATTTTTGTGAATCCCAATGCTCCTTTTTGTGTTAGATGTTCTTTTTTTTAAGGGGCAAATAGCACCCTTTTCTGCTTAAATATCCCTGCCTTTTTTAAGGTCTAGAATAACACCTACCTTAATTTCTAAATACGCAGTATTCATTTTATAATATTAATCTGTCTGAAACCTTAATTTGTTTTAAGGTTTCATTCAGGTTGTCGAAATTTTATTTGTTTTCTTTTTTAAAGTGATGCAAATTTTTGTGAATCGCAATGCTCCTTTTTGTGTTAGATGTTCTTTTTTTTAGGGGCAAATAGCACCCTTTTCTGCTTAAATATCCCTGCCTTTTTTAAGATCTAGACTAACACCTACCTTAATTTCTAAATACGCAGTATTCATTTTATAATATTAATCTGTCCATTGATATTATTTTTTGAGCTTTCTCTGATTGTATTATATGTTATAAATGATAATGTATTTTTTTATTTAATAAAATTCAATATTAAATATCAGCTGCACAATTCTGGAAAAATCTTGGACTTGCAGGGAAAAGTCAGAGAATTTGAAAATGACTTCTTACTGGACCCCTGATTTAATTCACTATCATTAGCATATTTTATTGATTTTCAGCATTGATACCTATGCAAGTTTTGTAAGGCTTCCTCCTAATTTCATTTACCTTACGTTATTATGTAAAAAAAGATGTTTCTTTTTAGACAAAGTAGATGCCCCTATTGTCAAACTAAGTTCTTACTAAATTAAGATTTTGTAATTAAAAATTATTAGTAGTACCGACTAATTTTAAATATCAAAATTTAGGTTAGAATTTTTACAGTATATTGCATAAAATCTAATACTTTACTGATTAAGGTAAAAAAAATTATTATTCAAATGCATAGGATGCAAACATGCATGGCAATACTTTTACTTTTGGAACAAGTACTGAAAGAAAAAGTATGTGCTTTTACTTCTACTTTGTTACTTTTCAAATTCAATTCTTTTGCTCGAAATTTCTTAAATTTTTTAGAGAAAATGTACAAGTATATGTGTAACGAAAATGTAAAAAAAAAATCATGAATGTTTTTGCTAAAATTCTTTGCAGATTTTCTCTTAAGTCTTTTCTTTTTTTTTTTTTTTTTTAATTTTCACAATTAACCATTTTATTTTGAAAACTCATTGTAGCGTATACTAAAACAGTTAACTTCTTTTTAGTGAAACACCTTTATGGATCGACTCTTTTGATGACAAAGTCATTAAGAGATTGATTATTCGAGTAAAATATGGAACAAGCAATTTCTTTTTACTAAGAATTGCCTATAATAATATTTTCACCTGAGGTTGAAGAAAGGGAATTGTTCTTATCAAAATGTTTTGAAAAAAAAATTACAGAATTGAAAAAATGTCCATTGATAAAATATCCTAAGATAAAAGTTTATATACTATCCCGGAAAATAGTTAATTCTTTTCAATTTTTAAAAGCTATAATTATTGTGTTATCTGTGTGCTGCTTGCATTGGGGTAGGAATCTGTCAATGTTACGAATTCAAAGCAGTGGTATTCACATAGTTATAAGCATGGAAGAATTTATTTTTTAGGGGGGAGGGAATGGCACAAATTCCTTTTCTTTCTTTTTTTAAGAAAATAGTTTTATTTTAAGTTGCAACATTTAACGACAGGAATCTTTGATCTAATTTGTAGTCTTTGATACATTTTGACTTGACCCTACAAAATAAAGCTCCTGAACTTTCCTCAGAAATAAGAGCCCAATGTTTCTTTTTGCATAAACAATGATTTTGACCATCTGAAATAAGTTGCTTGTTCATATTAGTTTAGTTTGGTTTGATACGAGATGATGTTGGTGATAGAAGTATCCTAATGCATATTTTTTAACAGTTTTTTTTTTTTTTTTTAATACAAAAACTTATTAACAGCATGAATAAAAGTACTTTGATGGCTTTACCTTTTTAATAAAGGTAGTAAGTATTATTACAAAATTTAAATTCTTTGCTATTAGAAAAATTCTACTGAACTTCTTATCATAAACTAAGTACTGTGCACTACTAGGGAGAATTCCATATGTGACTGTCACATTTTGAATTGTAATAATGAATGCATCTTCTCAGAAATTTTTTTTTGCATATCAAATAAACTATTCTTTTCTTTATCATCGTTTTAAAAATAATGCTTTCAAATGAGATCTACATTTTTTTATTGTATTATATAAAGATAATGTAATAAATGTATTTTATAATTTGGAATGATTGCGATGAAAAATTTTGGTCAATCATACTGATAACATCTGCAAAAATTATTCCTTTTGGGGAGGGGAAGAAACCAGGTTCAAATATTCTTTAAAAAATTTCAAAATTTGATTTTTTTTATACGAATTAGCTGACTATGCTTTTTCAAAAAAAATTTTAATAATTTATTAAATATTAATAACCCAAAAGTTTTAATGAATTTTGGTAAAAAAAATTTAGGTACTGTGTTTCATTTTTTATTTTATATAAAAATATTTTCTTTTTTTGAGTTATACCATATAAACATTTCACTACCTAATACAATGAAATAAAAACAAAGTGAGACCTCTTTTGATATTAAATAACAATTGCATAATAAATAAGAATGTTTAACAACAAATTATTTTTATACATTTGAATGAGTAAATTTTTATATTTTGTTCTTATATTTTTGAATAAAATTTTGAATTTTTTCCAAGAGTGCTTAAAAATCATTACTTTTTTTGGTAGTTTTACTTGTACTTTTTACTCGTTACTTTTCAAAATCAGAACTTTTTACTTAATACTCATTACTTTTCCTCTTAGTACCTTTATGTTTATTTTTTGCATTTCCAATGTATGGTTACAAATATATATTGAGTACTTTTTAGTGTGGATTAAAATATTGTTTGCAAATTTTATATTCTATATTTTCTGTTTTAATAATCTTTTTAAATGCTGATCATTAATTTATATTTATATTTTTTTAGGATTTTAATTAACATGTTGAGAGATTTGTATAATTTTGACCAAAAAAAAGGAAAATTAAAAAAGGATGCCAAGTCATATTTAGGACAGTCCTTTTCACCTGTTATAAAAGACCCATATACTCCTTGTGAAATATCAGATTATTTATTCAGGTAAAATATTCAATACAATTGTTTCCACATATGACATTCTCATTTCTATGAGGTTTGATATTTGTTAATGAATACAGCAGTAAAGTTTCATCGTGGCACACAGTAAAACTTCCAGGAAACACCAGTTCTGTTTAATACCATTTTTTGAAGGCACAAATAGATTACCCATTGGCATTGCGTTAAGAACATGGGTGCAAGTCTTCCGTCCTCAGGACGGATTTCCGTCTTTCGAAAATGTCCGCGGACGGAAACAAGACTGACTCAAAGACGGAAATTTTTTTTCTTCTGTTCTTAAAAATATTTTTTAGGTCTACGTTATTGGTCTACTTTCTTATGTCCTGTTGTTATTTCATCAAAAGACAGATGAATAAATATTTTTTGTACAGTATTTAAACTTGATGTATTATGGTAAAGCTTTCTTAGATAGTTTGCATATGTCGAGGGGGTATTGTGTATGTTAGGTATTTCAGTCAAGAAATTTTCAGTCTTGGGCTTTTTTCCAACTTGCACCCATGGTTAAGAAAATACTTAAGGGGAACCAACAAAATCTTTTGCATTGACTGGGCAAATCTTAGCACAAAATGCCCATATAACTAATGAAGAAAACAAACATAATAGATGAAAATAAGACAAATCATAAAAGAAAATTCGTTAAAAGTTCTGTGTGTAGCTCATGTTTTCAATATTTCTGATCGTGGGAGATCTCTTGCATGGGAGAGTTCTTACATGGGAGTATCCACACAAGAGTGTTAATTTACTGGTAATTGACAATGGCACAAAAAGTATTTCCCAATCACTGCTCAGGGTTGCCAAAGTCAACTATTTTCAGCCTCTGACCACCCCCGTGGCAGACATTGTTGCAGAAAGCGACTGAGTTCTTGCAGAAAGATTTTTTTATTTGGGAAAAAAACATTTTTTGGTTTGGCAGAAACAAGAGTTCTCCAAAAAAATTCTGCAGAAACAGAAGCTGTTCTACAAAAAAAATCATTTCTACGGAAGCAGAAAATTTCTGCAGAAGCAATAATGGTTCTGCAGAATTTTTTTCTTAAAGAATTGTTTTTAAATAATTGTTTTTCTAGCGTACCACCGAAGGGGAAAGCGCTCGTGATCCCCCGTTAATCTCGACACAAACAGTTACTGGATGAAAGGGGGAGAAATTTTTCCCCTTTATTAAGCTATTTTTGGAAATTTGCCAACTTCAACCTCTATCGCTGGCGCAGTAATTTGTTTTGTGTTTTTTTATGAGAACAAAGCTCTATATATTTTTTGCACTTGTGTGGAAAATTTCATGCGTAAAAAGATTCGTTTTTTGTTTTTTTTTTGTGAAAAATGTCTAGCGAAAAGGTTATTTGTTGCTCTTGTGAAGCAACAATAATCAAAGAAAATTTGAAAACTCATTTTTCAAGGCGGCATTCCGAAGAAGAAATAAGATGGAAGTCAACAACATCTAGCGATGTCAGAGATTTTTTTTCTGGAAACCGGCCGGAAAAGAAGAAGGAAGCTTCACACGCTACTAATATTGAACAAAAACGTTCTAGATTCGAACCAAATATTCCTACTACTAGTAGCGATGTCGATAAAGATGAAACAGCAAATCAAGAAATTTTAGAAGCAATCAACGGTAAAAAATAACTATGTAATGACTATATTCCATGCAAATAATCACACCAGATTTTCATAATAATAAACTTAACTTTATTCAAAACTAAAAGAAACTAGTCATTATATTTTTTTTTACTCAGAGCCTCCAGCTCTTAAACAACCAAGGGAGACCTTCTCCAGATCAAGACAAACATACATCTACCTCGATTCCTAGCATGCCCCCGAAGGGGTGACACAATGCGCCAAGTGCGCCTGAACGATCGCCAAACAGTTGCCGATCGCCAAACTATATATATCGTTTGAACGTACTACTATATCTATCGTTAGAACGATCGCCAAACTATATATATATATATATATTAAAGATAAAATGTGTATATCCTTTGAATTAAGTCGTTGATATAAAAAAAAACGCTCACAATCTAACGATAAATTAAATAAAGCCTGAAAGATATCGCACTATCTGCAATTTTTTGGCATGCGAATGAAAACCAGATTGGTGGGAAATATTTTCTGGCGAAAAACTTTAAAGCAGGTTTCCATACGCATGCGAAAAAAATCGCATCTAGTGAGTATGGCTCTAATACCGATGTTTCAGTACTGATGAAGACTATTTCGTTTCAAGATGTTGTTCGGAAACCGCGGCTGTGTACTTTCGTTCTGAACTTAATCTGATCACGAAAAAAGTTTTATTTACCTTCTTTTTTTTTAAAAAAATCTTTCAATAAGTCAGTACAATATTAATCGAATCTAATTAATTTAACCACTCAATCTTTAATTTTTTTCATATAGAACAAAAATTGAAACAAAGATTGCGTTAATTTTTTTGCTTTTAAAATTCGGTTATAGTCAATCATATTTTATTATCATATTGATTAAATAAAAAGTTAAGCGATATTGCGGCGTTGTGAAAGCTTTTTTTTATATTTAATATTTAACAAGCGCAAAGGATTATTTTTTTTTCTCGGTATAATATTAATGCACTGCAGGCCGTACTCCTGTTCTAGTTTGTGTTTAGCTCTTGGCACTGTAAATCTATATTGTATGTACTGTTCATCGTAATTTTTTCTATTAAAATTCTCCAATTCATCTTTAGTTTTAAAAAAATAAGCATCGAAATTATTTTTAAATTAACATTTTCTTTTATTTAAGATGGATTTCAAAGTTCTGATTCTATAGTTTTGGTTCAAAAGACTTTGAACGTATATTATAAGGTGATACTTTGCTAAATCCGGATGTTTTTAGCACAATATAAAGTTTTTCACGTCGTATGTATTTGTCGAATTAATTATTTTTTTGCCAGAGTCTCCTGATTTTTTCAAAAATTGTTCCCGGAACTTAAATATAGGAGCTATTTAAACAACTTCCCTTTAAAGAAATACCGTTGCCGGATCATGCGATATCGCTTGACAATTCTTTCTTCTGTTTGTATCAATAAAACGGATTAAGTGGTACCAATATGCATTCTATTATCCAACTATTTTTGCGAAAAATATCATGCTTCGATTTAGCAATGACACAGAATATGAGATAAACGTTATAAAATTTAAAGTAGTTGCTAAAATAAGGAAATTTAAGTTTGATTTTATCTTTGTAAATTACACCCTTCACTGTTAGATGCAGAGTAACCCCCCTGCACTTGCATAGCTATAAACATGTTAAAATATTTTTTTCATTTAAAATACTGACAAAAATTAAAATTTTCCCGTTCGGTACTTTATAGATTAGCGCAAAGTTATTGTACATTCCTTGGCAAATCAAATTCAAGAATTGAAAAATGAGAGATTCAATAAATCACACGATAAAGTGAACGAAATACAATCAACAGCAAATTTCACAGCTGAAGAAAAGGAATTACTTTTAAAATCTGCTAGATCCGTTGACACACTGATAAAATGGGGTGAAACCCTTGAACGATGTGATGAAGGTCTGAGATGCACCACATGTCATATAATTCTTAAATTTAACTTTGAAATCGGTGACAATTATGAAGAAGATAATATGCCAATAACGTTCAGGCACCTAAAGTATGATCTATGCTGGCATTTGAATAGTATTACGCATATTGGAAACCTGAAACTAGCAAAGAAAATTAGCAAGCAAACTAAAGAATCCCTAAAAATAGGAAAATTAGCAGCAATTAACCTTGCTTCCGCAGCTTACTTGTCATTCAAACTTCAATGTTCATACAGAGATTTTGAAACAATACTAACAAAATTTTACAACAGCGGAGCTGAAGTTGGGTTGAAAAATCATTCAAAAGAATTTGCTCGAACATTTCTTCCACATATGTATGACATTTTTCGTAAAGAAATTTTTAACTTTATTATAAGCAATGAACTTCCAATCGGAGTTATTGCTGATAAAATGACATCTAATAGACGTAGTCGCCACATTATTGGTATTAGGATACCTACATTCGACATAAATCACGAATCTTTCTATAAGTCAATTTATCTGGAGCATAATGCTGTCACTGATTTTACCGGTGATGGTCTATCGAGCAGTATTTTCAACACACTTGAAAAATTCTGTCTTGAAACCACATATATTCGCAAGCATTTAACTGGCCTTGCAGTTGATACATAAATCTTGATGTTGGAAAATATCTGCAAGATAAATTGAGAAAAAAAATAGTTGTGTCATGGGATCCCATGCACCGAATTGAATTAGTAATGAAACATGCCGAAACACCCAAAATAGTTCAAGATGCTTTCGAATTAATACACAATACCATGAAAAAATTTTCCACAGGTGAAAGAATTGAATATGCAGAAAAGGTTGGTCATTTTTATAAACAAAAATTATTTAAAATGATTAAATTTTCTTCTTATTGTGAAGACATCTTTAAAACGTTTATCTGCGATTACAAAATATTGGTGTCTGCTTGTGAAGAAGATCTAGATGGCTACATTTTAAGAGATACACTTATGAGTAGGGAAAGAATTTTCAATATCTTAGCTCTGTCAGATGTTTGTGGTTGTCTTGGGTATGCATCAAGAAAAATCCAAAATTCTGATTTGTTTCCTTGGCAGTACACATCAGTCATCGAAAGTACATTTACTATAATAAAAAATTATCTTGAAGAACTGTCAAAGACTGTTTCTAACGCCAAAGAATTTGTTGATTTCCTAAATAATTTGCCAAAAAGTTTATGTCCCAACTTGAGATCTGCAACAGAAATGTTTCCACTTGACTCTAAGATGACTGGTACTTTTCATGATGTGCCACTGCCAGAAAAACCAGTCAGTTCAAAAATTTTACGAGCTCATAATTCCAATAAAGACTCAGCCTCATTATTGAAAAACAACTTATTTGATTTGTCAAAGTATGTTGGATGTCTAATTAGTCAGGCAGATTGATATTTTTCAGAAAATAAATCCTCTGCACTTAACATACCAATTTCAGAAGCTATTTGTGAAACATGGGGCTCAATTATTGACCGTGTAAATAAACAGAGATTAAGATCTTAAGAGGGAAATGAAGATGTTGGAACAAATGACAGGAGAACATTTATTCAAATAAATGGACCACCAGCTGGATACAAAAATAATCAAAAGTTTATAAAAGCAGGCTTAATTGATATGTATGGACCCAATTGCACTGTACATTTTACGAATTTTCACAGTAATAAGATTATGAAAAATTTTGTCACTTCCAAAGTAATTAACAAAGTGAATACAGAAGCCTATTGTTTACCATGCTTTAAATGATTAAAAAAATATTTTATATTATGTATTACTCAACATTAATAATTTTTTCACCTGATTTGTTTCTGTACCTGATATAACTACTATAATAAAGCATTAAATCATACTGTTTTAAACTGATACTTCATATTCAGTTATTTTGTTTAATTAATTTAATCTTTTTGTCCATTCTTAGCTATTTTTATTCTATCTTTTTACACGTTCTGGGTAATCTTTATTTATGCTCTAGTAAGCTTTTTTCTTTGCACATCTATACATTTATAATTTTTCTTTATTATAAGATTATACAAATTTGAACTTAAACATATTTAAACTTATATTATGAAATTAAGAAAAAAAAATCTACACAGTTTTATTCTATGCATGTAGGCCTTTTTATAACCACGAAGTGCATCTATTATTATAAATTCATTACACATATATTTATAACGATAAAAATATCTTGCAGAAAGATATTGGTTCTAGTTAGGTTTGTCGCAGAAAGCCAGAAAAAATTCTGCCACACTGACCACTATGTTCACTTTTTTGTGTAAAGAGGCTGTAAAGCAACTATTTTCATGGAAAGGCAATTAACTCTAATGGGACTTTTAATTTTTATTTCTATAAAAGTTTCTTCCATATATGCAAAATGTGTCCGGAAAAAAATATTTTCCTTTTCTTTCTATCCTCTTTTTTCAACAAATGTTCCGACTAGCGTGCCTCGTCTTTCAACTTTTTTTTTTCAAGCAAAATGTAATACCTGCCAAAATGGAAAAATATTATTTTTCTAATTAAATAATATCCTCTGTAAGAAGTATTGTCTCGAAATTTTAAATAAAAATGCCTAAATTGTCCCTAATTTTTAATTCGTTTAAAGAACAGTTATAAATTTAGGTTTAAAATTTACCATATCTGTGATAACATAATTTTTAAATTAAAACAAACATTTTCTCTCCGTCTAACTGGAAGAGACTAGACAGTAACATGCAAATGCATATCACTGCAGATATCAGAAGGCAAATTTTGACCTTCTTTAATATACCGTACGGTTTTTGTCAGTAAAACAAATCAAGGTGCTTATTATCTTACTTTTTTTGCTGGATAAGTGATTTCTCATCACTATGACATTTTGTCTATTAAAATAAACTTTGTAAAAAAATACAAGTTGGGGGCTAAAATAAGAAATGATTTTATTTTTATAGATTACCGTTCTTCAGTGATAGATATAGTACAGTAGAGAACCGATTATCCGGAACGATCGGGACCATCGCTATTCCGGATAACTGATTTTTCCGGTTTTCTGAATCGCTACAAAAAGCCATTTTTTTATTGTTAAACCCAGCTAAAAAAATATTATTTGGAAATAAACTTAAAAAGAAGAAAAATGATGAAGTAATACACTAATAATTATTTCCAAAATGATAGTAAGGTAAACATCTTTCAAAAAAGAAGGAAAAATCTTAAGAGGAAAAAAAAAATTTAAAAATGGCGGGAAAATGTATCGAATTTCGTTCCTGTTTTCTGATTTCCAGATAATGGGTTCTGTACTGTATATGCCTCTGAGCTCAGCTAGAAATAAATATGATAACTTGAGTGCAGATTCCACCTTATCTCTACAATGTTTACATTTAGCCTACAATTCAGCTGCTATTTTTGTAATTTCGGGTAACTATTGACATAGTTTTTGGTAACTATTCTTTATCTGTTTATTTGTGGCAACCCTGACTATTCCTCCAATCTTATCAATAACAATGTTGAAATTTGTAGACTGACCCTGTTGAATGCGGTCGTACATGCCAAGATAATTTCAAGTTTAATTAGTTGTGCATGTTCGGAATAGCGGAACGGAAAAGGTGAAAAAGGGAGTTATAGATAGTTTAAAACATGATTTTAGCTCATTTAATAGAAAAGTAGTTTTTTAGTGCTTCAAATTTTCTCCACTGTACATGTAAACTTATATTTGCAAAAATAGTTTTGGAAAATCTTGATTAACCCTGCTCATTATGCTTATTTCAAATTAACAACAGAAAATATAGCTTATTGCTAAATTTTGTTAAGGTAAATAAAACTATCATCTCATTTTTTATAAAAAGATATGACTATGTTACACAGAAAAAAGAATTCAAAAAGAAAAATAGAAATATTTAACTGGGGCCAATGACACAAATAAATGAAATTTTGTAGAAAGAAACAGCGATTAAAAAGAATGGGAAACTTTTAAATCTCTAGGCATGCATCAGGAAACATTTCTAAAATCAATGGACTTAGAAAAAACTTAACATAAAAATTAACCTCTTCTCATATTTTAAAGCTAATTATTTATGATGTAAAATGAAATAGAAAACTTAAACAAAAATATAGTTTCTCTATTTAAATTATTATTAATATATATTGTTGATTAATTTTTTTACTCATTATCTCATTAGGAGTAATTTTCATCTGTAAATCATCATTTCATTAGTAAATTTTCACTGCTGATCCAATTTTCATAACTCAGTCATGAATAGCTTTTTCTCTCCAAGAAAAATATCTCTATCTAAAATTAAAATTTCATGCGAAAAATTCACGTCTCTTAGATAGTATTTTCTAGCCATTGGAGATAATCTCTAAGAGTGGCCAACCTTTAATGACAATTTTATTAAACCAAGAGTTCTTGTTCTGATGAGTTTGCACTGTATTTTTAAACTTAAATATTTGTCGTTTTTTTAAATCAAGTATTAAGACCAATTAAAAATATTTCCTTTTTTTTTTTTTCAAAATATAAATCATGATTATGAAAATCATATTTAGTGTATTAAAATATGTAATAGTGATAAAAATATCATCTGTAGTTAAATATAATTTTTTTCTTTTTTAGGAAGTGTCTTCTAATTCATTTGACAGATAATGAAGACAAGCATTTGTTTTTAAGGTAAATTAAAATTTAATGCTGATATATTTTTTATGTCATATTTCCTTTCAATTATGTTTTAATAAATTTATATTATCTTAGTATTTACCTTGTTAAAAATTATAATAATTATGATAATGAAAGCTTTGCTGCTTCCTTCATTAGGCGTATCGTTGATAGTGGTATATATGAATGTTCATTTAGGCCAATATTGAATGAATAAAACAATAACAGTTGAGTTTCCAGGAAATAATGTGCAAATCATTGAATGTAAATTTAGATTTTATTAAGTATAATTTGAATCAGATAGTGGCCATATCTTGAAAATAAGAAATCCCTTAAAGGGATCAAATAATAATACTCTCTATTGAGAGATCATAAAGCCAGAACAACATTTCTGATCGTTAGAAAATTAAGACTGGGAGGCCCCCGAAGGGGTCCCAGCCTCTCCAATTTAGAAATTCAAAGTGAATATATTTATTCTCAACGGACAGAGAAAGAGTATGGGTAGGAGATCCAAAATTTGGCGATTTATCATAATATATCATAGCCAAAAACAAAGCCAACTAGCATATCCACATGGGTTAAAAAGAACACCTTGGCGATCACGAGTCGCCAACAAATTTATGTGAATTATTATAACCATGCAACCGAAACATTTAGCCGTTGGAAAATTAGAATAAAAAGTTATAAATAGATTTTTGTTTTCGATTAGAGGCGACAGTGAATTTATATGTCTGCATAATAATGAAATAAAAAGAAAGTATCCGTTACATTGATCTGGAAGAGAAGAAATAAATATTTTATGTTCGCTTAAAAAGATTAAGTTTTTGATTTATTTTAAAAGTAATTCTTCCATTAATAAAAATAAGCTTAAGTAATGAAGGATATTTTAAAAGATAGAAAATAAATATGTGTATGCCAATTCTGGCATCACAATAATGCTTGAAATGTCGCCTATTGCTGGATAGTGCTTGTAACCTATGGTCTGTCCAGCTAAAAAACCTCCTCCTGCCTCAGGGTCTTGGGTTGTTTATTTCTATGGAAATAAGAAAAACAGTTTGGTGAATACAAAGGGTGGGATATCTTTCAAATATCTGTTGCATATATTTGAGCTTAATTAATATGTTAATGATCTTTTTTGCTAATGAATCATTCCCATGAGTTATGTAACTGTGTATTTTAATTTCGTCTTCATAAATAGATATCTGACACAACTGTGCTTAAGCTTAACCTAGTAATTAATGACCATCAGAGATGCTTTTCTTCAAATGCTTCTTCAAATAGAGGCTAAATAGTAATGTTGCAAGTAGACACCAATTTATGTGCATCGGATGCAAGGTTTAAAGTCCCGTGAATACTTTCTTTTCCACGGTTTTTGCATTTTGCTCTGGATCCTTTTCTAGATTTGTTTGCTATCTCCTCAAATGATAACCAGATAATGTATTTTTCTCCATGTTTTTAAATTTAGATTTATTATCAAATATTATGCTGAGCAATCCCAAGCAGTTAGGAAAAACTCATCAAGTAATCTTCCTTACATAAAATATAAATCTACATAAGTGACATCTACTCTTGTCTCTTGAAATGGGAAAATTCCCTTAAGAGTTTGATTAATGATTTGAATATTTGACAGACCTCAATAGAAAAACAAAATTAATGTTCGGTTTCATATCAATGCTTATTTCATCCCAGTGTGGCAAAATCATTGCGACACTGTCGCAGAATGCTGCAGAGTTCTCGCAGAAGTGTTTTTTCTTTGGGAAGAAAAAATTTTTGGCTTTCTGAAGAAATATTTCAATAATTTTTATCATCCAAAATTATGATCAAAATATGCCTTGCTCGTGCATCGGAGTAGAAGGAAATGGCTCTGATTTTTCTATTCTTATTTGAGAATAATGAAAAGTAAAGAATTTTGATTTTCTTTTCTGCAGAAAGCTTAGAATGTTTTTCTGTTGTTGATAATTTTAATATTTTTACTCACATGCAAATTGTAGTTTACGCATTTCAGTCTTCATTTTATTGCTCACAACTCGCGGCGATTCTGTCCTAAATATACGTAGTGTTTTAATCACTTTTTCGGAAATTATTGTTGCTCGATTATTGATATTCTCGTGGATTTTTAAAAGATACCGATATTGTTATTGCCCACGAAATTCGAATCGTGGATCCAAGAAATCTGTCTTTGACATTTTGACGGCGTTTTTATCGCTAATGCAGTCAACGTTAAAGGAATACTTCGGTTCCAACCAAATCTATGCTATTAAGCGGGTTATTCGATTAAAAGGTAAGTGCAATATTCAATCTTAAATTCTGCATTTTTGCGAAATTTTACTCTTTAATGGTATTTAATGCATAGTATAGTGTTTTGATTAAATAAACTCAGTTTTATGATCAATAAATAATTATAATTAAAACTTTCTGCCTTAGTTTCATAAAAAAATGTCATTTAAAGTTACATAAAAATAAATCAAAGCTAGTGAAAAGTGTCAAGTAGGAGCTAAAATATTATTTGATCCCATCCGAAAAATTCTACAATTGAAGACTGTTTTTTATACCCGTTTAATTCGTCAATTTATCAAAATTAGATATTCTTTTTTGTTTCAAGTAAAATTTTCATGACTTGTGCGTATTCCTTTCAAACACATTCAGAATTTTTTTTTATTTTGGAAACTTGAGAAATTCCTCATTGATGCGCTATTTCAGTTGGGGATTTTTTTGAAATTTATTGTTTCTAAAATTCTTTTTTTTTTTGATTAATTTAAATCATTCCTTTTTGCTCTCAACTTGCAACCAACTCAAAATTATTCACCGGTTTAGGCAATTATTCTACTTAAGAGAACGACACTCTTTACACTAGCGTATTAGGTTTTTAAAACTTTTTCTTATCAAAGCTAATAGTGCATCAAGAGGGGACTGCAAGTCTTGACCTAAAAACAAATCACTCTATCCCTTTTTTACATACTAAATGATGCGTGAGTGAAGTAAGTCATAGAGGGGTAAAACCCCCTTCGTTTACTTCAATGCATAATTGGCAGCAAGATTTGATTAATATTTCAACTTCATCCCAAACACCTACTAATGAATAAGAAGTCCCAATTGAAATGACCATCTATTGTATCCTTATCTTAACTGAAAAATGGAAATCCCATTTTATCTGGTGAAACATTTCTCAAAAAAAAATTTTTTTTTCATTTCAGTACCACTTCTTTATGCAATTAAGCGGGGGCAGAAAACAACAATTAACCGTTTAAACGGGGAAGTTTGACATTAGTTTAATATACAATGATTTGGTTCCATTAAATTTCATTCCTATAAGCGGGCTATCCGATTATCCGAGGGGCGATTAAGTGGGGATGACTGTACTACAAATTCCACTGGCTTTTTAAAATTCTGGTTATTTCTCAGTTGATATTATTTCTACAAGTAAAATTTGAATCTCTCGTTTGAATAATCACTTTTTGACGTGGTCAATTTATGCTGATAATATTGCAAATCCATGTAGTGTTTCGAATGTATTTTCTTCAGCTATTGGTCTTGATTTCCACGTGGTTTTGAAACATCCCAATATATTTCTGGCAATATGGGATATTTGAATTGAATATTTAATTTTTAACGCAATGATTCTATTAATTTTTTTGGCATCTTGCTGTCTATGTTTTTTTTTGGTAGTTACTGTAACAGATTTTACAATTGAGTTTTTTTTTAATGTGATAATGATTTACAAAATGCGAGAAGAAAATAATTAGCTTATTTTTCCCCTTACTAGTAGAGATGAGAGTATTGCTCATAATATGAGAATAAAAATGAATATTATATATTTGTTATATATATATATATATTCCTAAACACAAAATTTTTGTTTTTTTAATTTAGTAACGTGTATTTGTTATTATTAAAAGTATCTTGCAGAAAGATATTAGTAATAGTAAACTTTGTCGCAGAAAGCTTGGAAAAATTCTGCCACCAGACGAACTTTTTAAGTGAATTAAAAATATTTCCAAACAATAATAAAAATTTGTTTATCCATTTTGTTATTAAGATAATTCCATGCAAACAGTAACTTTTAGTAAATATATATTTTTTGTTATTTTATTTAATACTAGTCTTAAAAAAATAGGGATTGTAAAGTATATAATTATTTACATAATGCTAAAGAACATAATTTGACATTGCAAAATACGAAATGTAAGCAAAATCAGTCTAATAGTTCCGGAGAAATTGAATATACGACTAAAGACAATTTTTTTCAAATTCAATTTCTCAGGAACTATTTAACCAATTTCGCACAAATTGTGTGTTTTGCCATGTAAAATTACATTTAAAAATGGTGCAAAAATTGTAAACCTTACAATTCATGCTGATGATAAATAAACCTCAGAAGAGGGGACAATTTCAGACATTCACACTTGACTGTAAAATAAAAAAAACTGTCAAAACAATGACCAGTTTTTCAATAATTATTTCTGAATATTGAACTTTATTTGCAGTTATTCAATTTGTAAACTGTTTTCGTTAGTTTCAAATGAATTCAAACCGGAAGACTTGGATAATCCAGTTTTTCAAGAGGTTTTAACTGGTGGTCAGATATACTTAATGAGTATTAAGGTTTGTATTAATAATTTATAAACTTAGCATTAAACCAATACTTGGATACTAGTTGTGATTGTGTTTTGTGCAATGATACCTAAGTAAGAAACATTTTTTTATTTTATTATTATTATAAAAAACTTCATATTTTAATTGTTAGGATGCATAAGTGGTTTTATATCCCTCAAAACTAAACTCAAAACAGAAGCATTGTTAATTATAATAATAAAAGCATTACTTAATTGTACAAAAAAATATTAACTATGTAATTGAAATTTCCTGTTTTTTTTTTTTTCTCTATGTTTTTCTTAGACTGTAGAGAAATTAAAAACTTTTGATTTCCTTTTTTGAAATCCTTATATTTTACAGATAGTTTTATTTTTCTTCCAATTTATGAATCTGTTGATATTATTATCTTTGTCTCCTCAAGAAAATATTTATTCAAATACAAAAATAATCGTGCTCTTTTTCATTTCGTTTTTTTTGTATTTTGTGAATATAATTTAGCATGTGCGTATCAGAAATTTTTTGGAAGAAATACTCCCATTTAGCCTTTTGAAACCACTCATTTAGGATGAAATTATATTTGTAAATTTTAAAACACATAAAAGAGGAAATAAATATCGTGTTTTTTTTTTTTTTTTTTTTTTTTTTTTTTTTTTTTTTTTTTTTTTTTNTTTTTTTTTTTTTTTTTTTAATTCCTTAAATTGAATATCGCATGAGCGGAAATGAAAAAAAAAATTATTTTAGATGCTCGGGAATTTTTTTTTTTGTAGCTATAATTCCTATTAAATCGAAAAAAATTTTAATTTATCACAGAATTAAGTTTAAAAGAAAGACAAATCTTGTCACTAAGTTTCTGATTAAGAGAAGATTCAAAATGATCCGTAACAAGCATTATTTGTAATGCTTGTTATTTTGCTTTTTAATATTAAAAAAAAACTTTGATAGAAATCTGACAGTAATATTTAATGTTCCTTCAAACATAAAAGAGTCCTATATAAAATTTTGATAAAGTTGCGGCCCTTCATTTGACTGGTGTTTTTAATGGCGGTCCCCGGCCTCATGTAAGTTGGAAACCCCTGATTTAAATCAAGTAATCTTGTTATCACTATAAGTTCGTGTATTCTGTTTTTATTGCCAAATAAATTTCTGGAAGCAATTAAAATTTTCAATAATTATAAATTAAAAACAGTGCTCATTGCACTATTTTCATTGCAATTTCAGTATTTTATGTGTTTAATTTTGTAGAAAATTAATGTTTTTTAAATGTATTTTTTGTTCTTTGAAGATGCTTAGCTAACATTTATTTATTGATAGCAGAGTTTTCCTTAGGAAAGAGGGCAGAGTGCTTCCTCACAAAAAAATGCACTTGAAGTTTTGAAAGAGATCATTTTAGAGATCATCAAGAGATTTGATCATTTACCTCCATTAAAATTTATCAAAATGAATATTTTGTATTAACTGAATTTGATCCTCAATTTTTAAATTACTCTCTTAAACTATTTTGTGTGTATATTTCCCTATGTAATACTCACTCATTATCAAAATAGCTGAAAGACTTAAAGCTTTTGAAAAATAATTCTAGACAAGACTAAAAGACAATCTCTGTATTTATATTTTCTTCTAAAAAAATAATTTGATAGGCAAGTTGACTGCTTTTTTTATATTTTAAACAGAAAATTGTGAGAAAATAAACATTATTTCAAAAATAAATAATGGTAAAATTTAATATCGTAAATATACCCTCCCCCCAAATAAAAGAACTGATATCTCGGTGGCAGAACATCATTCGAATTTTAAATATATAACTAGACAACATACGAAAAATCTTACTAAAATGAAGGAATGAAATTAAAAAATTAATGTTAAATAATATTCAATAACTAAATAAATCCGACGTAAACTTTTCATTAAAAGAGGTGGTTTAAAAAAATGACCTTTTCCTGAAAAGATAAAAAGGCAAGGTTTTTAAGGGATGGCGGCTTATTTTTACGAAAAGGGCTAGGAAGACGCATTTAGAGGGATCAAAGGACAAGTGGGGTGGGCTGCCCTTTTAAAAACGTTTAGAGAAAACACTTTAATAACATAAATTACTTAACAGTTAGATTTATAGTTAGATTTTTTGCATAAACTTGAGGCTATTTACGTTTCATCAACATTTTTATCATAATAGAATGCTCATTCTAGATTCTCCTTTTTTTTCTTTTTTTTTTGATGAATAGTCATGATTAAACACTATGTGCTTAATTTCTGGTTTTATTTTTTAAGGCAGTTTTTTGTTAGAAAAATCCTTTACTGAATGTTCTCATAACAATTCCTTATTTCTTGGCATTTTAGGATGGAGCTGAATTTTACTTGAAGTCGGTTGAAAATAGCTTAACTAGATCTATTAAAATGAAAAAAGATTATAATTTAATAGGTATACAAGTCTTTTTTTTTATTGCACACATGATCTTATCGTGAATTTCATTATTTTTCTAATGTTTGTTTTATGACAGGTTATGCTCGCAAATGTACAAATAGTGCTTTATCTCTAACACCGAGAATAAAGAATATTTTATCTACTGGAAACTTCCCTGGCAGAAATAATGGACTCAGCTCCAACTCTGGTTTCACAGTAGTGCTCAAAAGAAATAACGTGTTTGCTACTGCAGCCCAATTTACTTCTGTAAATAAGTTCTCTCTCAATTTTTATGGTAAAAATATGCGAAAATACTATCCAGAGTCTTGGGGTAAGTTTCTTTATTTATCAGAGTACAGTAAATGATATCTAATGTATTAATAATTTTATGTTTAAATTATTTTGAGGAAGATAAATAGGGTTAAAAAAAATTCTATTTTATTTCCACATTGCTTAAAGAAATATGATAAGATTTGCTTAAAGTACCTATGCTGTCAACCCATTTATACCTGAAATATTTTATAACTTCAGAAATTCTTAATATGAGTCATATGCCAAATAGTTGATTTTTTGGAATCATTATTCAAGACAGAGAAATCTATGGTATAGTATAGTTTGAAAGAAATCTATGGTTTCTTTTCACATTTCCTGAAAGTAGTGCGCTGATGTTATAAGTTAAGAGATACAGTATATATTCCATCAACTTGCATGAAAAATTCTTTATTTGAAAAGAATTTTACAATGACTCTTTCTTATTTATCCCTTAATGATCTTACTATTTTCAAAAAAACTGTCATCAATGAGCCTATTTTTTTATTCAAAAAATTATTTAAAAAAGGTGTATGTACAATGTGTGTATTCATTTTTGATTTTTGGAAATTTTTTTAACTTGAAATTTAAAACTTTATATGTCCATATAAATCTGACTCTATAATGTACACAATATAAAAAATATTTTATCATGGAACACAAACCACTTGCATTCACGAAGAGCATAAAATACAAAATACATATATTTGAATAGTACTGACATCTTGTTAAAAGTAAACTATCTTCAGTTACATTAAAAATAATCTGGTGCAGCCATCTAGTTTGTATAATGAAAATTCTGAGCACAAGCGATAGATATATTTAAACCTTTTTGGTTTATTACTTTTCAACCCTCAGCCCAGAAATATCACGGGCCTGTGAAATAGGAGACAAAAGCTCACCCTGTGATTTTGGCGTGAGGAAGGGGTTAAACAGTTGCAACATCACAATGTTTAAAGCAGAATTCTAACATCGTGAAGGATTATGATTTTATGCCCGATGGTAGCTTAAACTCTATCCAGCTTCATGTTCATGAGTACCAGCTTGTCTGTGAAGTAAGAAAAACTGGTACACTGTGCTGACCATTTTGCCAGTATCATACCATTTATCACAGAATTGTGAAGCCTTAACCTCAGTTGCTTACTGATCCACAATGGGCTATTTTAAGATATCCTTGCTTTACTGAATGAGAAAACTTTACTTAAGAAAAACTTAAACATCTTGATGAGACACTCAGGATATAGAGCATTCCCCTCCCAATGATTTAACCCTGGTTTAAATTGTGGCTATGACTTGGTGATACATTTTCTGCTTGTAGTGTCCATAGTGCTGTCTTAAAATATCCTCAGTGATGGAGAGATAATGGATTAGAATTCACGGGATATTCTCATGATTTTCCTTTTCCATGTAACGCAATTGCTGGTTAGTTCCATCAAATAATCCTCTACAAAAGCTAGTTTCTCCATATTCTTGATGAGTTCCCTTGTCTTCTAGGTTGAGTTTGAAATTGCAATGTGGTTGAGTTCAACATTGTTAGTTGCAAACTCTCTAAAAAAAATAAGTCACATGTTCAACACCAGTTATAAAATAGATGTATTCATGGAAATTTTTATATTATTTTCCCATTTCCTGAAAGAATACTTATGCCGAGACTTATAGAAATGTCATAAATTACAGTGCATATTCTATCCGCTTACATTTGCCTAGAATAACTGATTTTAAAAGAACTTTTTTTTTCTTCAAAATCTTCCATCTTATGATTAAAACTATCTATCCTTTAATTTAAACCAAATAATTTTTTTTTAATTCCTCAATCGTTTTAATTCCCCAAAGCGTTAACAATGCATCAAAAATACTTGAATGTTGCTATAATAGGTGCAATTTTCCAATCAAAAGGAAATCATATCATGAATGGAAAAGCTGACGAACATTCACCCAGGAAAACAAATACTATTCCTTTTAAAAATACCAAGTTGTAAATTTAATGTGTTTGTAACTTTAACAAAATAATTTGACCAATTCCGAAGTTAAATGGAAGAAGGTATCAAGTGACATTCCTAAACAATTAAACACAGTCAGTTTAAAACCATGTCATTAATTAACTGTATATCAAAAAAGTTATTTTTATTATTTGTTGTATCAAATTTGTTATAGGATAATGTGTCAGCAGCTTCCAGCCAATGTTGTATTTTCTAAAGCGGATGTCTCCTAATTAACTTAAGTAGTGTGACTTAGTGCCTCCAGCTACTAAGCTCTTCATTTTTTTAGAAAAATATCTAGTGGTTTTGGAAGAAATATCAGAAGACAGGCTTTGTTCTATTCTTTGTTTAATAATTTTTTATGTTTCATAAGTCAATAGGATTCATTTACTTTTATGATTCAGAGCTTGTTCTTTAAACTTAATTTTATCTGAACATCTGTGCTGCTGCTAATAATTCACTCAAGTAAAAAAGGAAAGAAAAAAAAGTTTTTTTTTTCTTATTTTGCTGGATAAAGTTTAGCTTTTTGTCTTCTTACTTTTTCATGTTTTAAAAAATTTAACTATGTAACTGGTATATTTTATTACACCAAGCATTCCCTTATTAAATTAATAACAAAATGGTATTATATGAAAAAAAAATTATTATTGTTTATTAACATATTAACTGAAAAAAATCTGTTTTTCAGACTTCAATAAGTCCCAACAATTCCCGGCATGGAACTTTTTGCTGTTTATCAAAGATATTATTTAACTCAGATCTGTGATTTTCTTCTCTTTTATCATTTTCCTCTATTTATTTATTTATTTTTTTGTAATTTTATTTTTGTTTTTTGTAATTTTAACATTTTTTTATTTTTTATATCGAAGATCTTTAAAAATTACTCACTTCATTAAATTTACTATCATGTACTTCTTAAGACATTAAAATAATGTTTTAAATAAATTTTATTTTAATTCCATGAATTAAAATTTAGGTCATGTGAAAGAGTTTTCAAAGAAGCTTACTATGTAGTTCATTCACTAGTTTATTTTAAAGTCATAATGTCAAACTGTCTTTCCAATGGCTTGATTGATTCGCTTCTTAAATTTTCGATGCATATATATACGAAATATATATATATATATATACTAGGACAGTCAAACGTTCCTTGCTCATTTTATCCCCTGAGCAGTTTTCATCCTTAAACATCATAGTCTTATTTGGAAGACACTTAAAAAATAAACCCATTTCATCAATATTGAAAACATCATTTTCACTGAATCCTTGAAGTGAAGTAAATTTGGTAACGTTTCATTTTACCACTGTTCACATACTTTAAGAGGGACAGCTTTAGCTTCTCCATGAAGAGTGCGAAAGACATTGTGTGTGTGTTGCAAAGGAAGGGGCAAGATATCAGCTCCTAGGCTTTTTTCCTTGCTTTAAAAGATCCAAAAAAAATCGAGTTAAAGGAGTAAAATTCGAGTAATCGAGAATAATTAACATGAAATTGAAGATAAAAGGGTCGGGACCTCATAAAAAAATCGAGTTATAGTAATATTCGAGTTATCGTACTTCGAGTTATAGCGAATTGACTGTATATATATATATGTATGATAAAGGAGAAGAATAATTATAGTAATTTAATTTTATTATTCCAATAGAAATTAAAATAAATTCAAATGCTATATTTTCTGGCATGTTTATCTTTTAATTTTTGATATTAAAAGATTTAAAAACAATAATATTTAAAAGTATTTAATTTAAACCTTAAACTCCATTAAATAACAATATTGTTACTTATTTACTGCACAGAAAATAGTCTACATAATTGTTTTCCAAGTGCACCCACGGTAGGTAGAGTTCTTAAAATATGTTTAAAGGTACTTATTTTCGATTTTTGTTTTTTAAAAGCCTTTGAAGGTGTTTTTAAAAAATGCTTAATTTTCCCTTTTTCAAAATTCGATATTTGTCTTCGCCGTGTTGATTTCTGCCACAAATTATGCAAAAAATGTGGTTTTCTCATTGTTCAATTCACATTTTCACTGTTCATTCAACCACTATCTATTTGGGCGTATGAATGCGGCAGTCATTTGACAAGTTTAATGAAATACTTGTGTGTATACTGAACTGGATTCTGTGTGAAAGGATTCTTACACTCTCATGTGCAACTCTGTAACATTTTGCAAAAGATTCTCAATTTCAGGCTTTATTTTCTACCCTCTGAAATTAAACCTAAAAATTTTTAATTTTTGTTGATGATGGAGACCAACTAAACATTACCAAATTTTTTCCCTAATAGCAAAAGAACATTTTATTTCCCTTGTTAATTTCATCGTTGGCAAAGCGTCATCATGTTAGATCTCAAATCAAGAAATTCATCAATTTAATTGTTAAGCAATTGAGATTTTTAATTCTGAATGCTATGATTTTAGAACTTTTTATCACTGTATTCAATTTTTTTCTCTATGAATAATTATTTTTCTATATGTCTCTCCTTGTTGTAAAATATTTTTCTTCATAATGTTACTTTTTTTTTTCATTGCATAAGTACAGTAACTGTGATTTAACTATGTAATATTCATATTTTTAACTTATAACCTTAATTATTAAAATATGCATCCCAAACTTTTTCAAATTGATTGTTTATTTTTCTTATTAAAGGTTTTCTATGTCCAGTCCAAACGCCTGAGGGAGAAAATAGTGGACTACACAATTATTTATCATCAGCATGCCATGTAATTTTTTTTCTTCATTGCGTTTTCATTTTATGTTTATATTTTATGCATCTTATGTTTGTTTTAAACATTTTCCTTAGTTTTAAACCGTGCCTTAGTTTTTATTTAAAAGCCATCCTGTACATTTATTTCCTTTAACTTTTCACATTTTCTCTTCTTTTTTTTCTTGTTAAATTTTGTTTTGGTAATCTGCCATTAAAATTTTAAAAAACCACTAAATTTCTATAAAAATTACTGCTAAGTCTTAAAAATTAAAGGTCTATAAGTCATATAAATAAAGAATGGGCACTGTGTCATAAATTCTCTTGAAAACATATTTAGTTTTAAAGAATTAATCATGACAAATCAAAAAATCTCAAAGACTTTTGATTTATATGTTAAAAGCAATTAGAAGTCATGCAAATCAAAAACAAAGTCACAGAGCTGATAACATGATGGGGTTAACAGTAACTTCATTATACAAAACATTTTACATTTATTTTTTACAGTTACATTATACACTCATTAGTTTGCAGTTAATTAACAAACATGTTCTTTATTTTTATAAATAAATTGCTAATTGCATTTTTTCTATCTATATTATATAAAACGCTAATACGTACGTATGTATCAATAAAACCTATGATATTTCTTTTCTCGCGCTGGCAACAGTTTTCATTTTTAATTGATTGGATTCGGCGCGCAAGAGCACGTAGTGAGCATCATATGGCTAATCCATGTTATATAAAACGCTAATACGTTTTAATTGATAGGCTTCGGCGCGCTAGACCACGTAGTGAGCATCATATGTCTATCTATCTCCGATTGTCACCGAGAAAAAAACGGTTGGTTGGTTATGAGTACTGAAATAGTTCCTTTTCATTGGCAGAAATGAGAAGTGTTATGCTATTGCTATTTTATTTTGAATTGAGCGCTTTACTATTCCACATTTTGTTATATTATCTTTACATCCGGCGTTCAGTGGCAGACTACTATTTCATATTGTTTTACAACACATGGCTTTAGCCCTTTTGTGGGAAAGACTTAAAAACAAAACTTACTACAGTTTCTTTTCTCAACAACTGAAATTTAGAATAGTGTGATTAAGAAAAATATGTGAACTGTTTGCAATTTCAAATTAATATTGAAATGTACAGGTTTAGAATTTTCTACAGTGAAAAGTTTTCGGAACTTCAGTGTTCAAAAAAGTATACAAAAGCTAGACGTTAAGAACATATCCAATGAGCGAGTAAAGCGAGCATCGGATTGCGAAGCAATCCGAAATGAACTGCGAAAGCAGTTCCGGGGGTTGGCGAGCACCAGCGAGCAGGGGGGCAAAACCTCCTAGTTATAAATATTGTTGTTTAGAAGAATCATAATTTTGTTAAAGGCCAGTCCGATTATCCATCAAAATAGACAACATTGATTTTCAATCAAGTTATAGCGAGTATTCTGTTGAGCTAAATGTCTCTTTGCCTGTACTTCTAATAATTTTTTGAATAAAATATATTTTATTCAAAAAAATAGAATATATAGAAATTAAAGAGATTGAAACAATTATTATGAGTATATAAAAAATGAGAATAATTATTGTTATGAGAATTTTGCACATTGTACATGAAAAACATACCCTGAAAATCTCAACAAGATTAAAACTTTCAAGTATCCAACTCTTCTTGCAAATAAACTTGCTACTCTATTTATTTATCAAATTTATTTTTATTCCAGATCCTAGACTTAAAAACTCCAAGAATTGAGTCAAAAGTGATTTTTAAATTTGGTGCCATTTTTTTAGATGATCCCCTGACCTTAACCGATATTCCTAAATGTTTCATTTACATAGATGGAAAAATTTTTGGTTGGATCAGGCATAGAAAAATCGACCATTTCCTTGCACAGTTGAAATATTTGCGATTGGAAAATTTTGTAAGTAAATTTGAAATAAGTTAATTATTAACCTATCAAACAAATATTCTTGTCATTTGTATATAACTTACTTTTTATTTTTAGATACCATCTTCTACTGAAATAATTTTAGTTGAAAAAACTGAACCACAAATAGTATATCCTGGAATTTACATTTTTTCAAACCCTTGTCGTTTATCCAGAGAAGTTTTGCATAAAAGAAGGAAGGTTCGGTTAGGAATATTTGAGCAACTTTTTTGTGTAAGCATATTTAGGAAAGAACTTTGGTATAATGAATTTAAACATTGCTGCATAGTAAGCATAAATATGGGTTTAAACTTCACTATTTTCTATCAAAAAATATTTTGAAGTACTCTGATATTACAAATTATTCAAATAACAATGAAATGTGACCAAAATAAAAAAGCACATAAATTACTGTGTTTAAGTAATTAATGTGATTTAATGACATGGGAGATTGTAAACATGGAGATTGACCTTGGACCTGTGTAAACATATTGTGCTCTTTAGTGACGAATTTCTGCGTTAAGTATATGTAGATGATGTATGTAACAATAAGTAGTATCTGCTGTGCAGGTTTTCCAGCCATGTGCCAGAGTTTTTTTTTTTTTTTTTTTTTTTTTTTTTTTTTTTTTTTTTNTTTTTTTTTTTTTTTGCTTATCCAGTATCTGAATAAATTTTTTTAATCAGTTTTAGTTAAAAATTAAAGCTATATTTAAAAAGAGAAATATGATAGATTGGTACTAAAATATCATTCTTTATCAATTAAAATACTAAATTTTTAAGAAAAAAAAATTATTTTTGTTTGAACAAAAGTAAAGAAATATATGCTTGTTACTCCTTGAACAAGTCTAGGGTATATGCTAATTAAGCACAACCCTGGTACTAAATGATGCTTAAATTTTGTACACCAGTGTATATTTTCCTATGGACATAATCAGTCAAAGCATGTTAAAATTTTGATATTCTTAATAACGCTATACATTTTATTGTATATGAATGAAACAATAAAGCTATGTGCATACAAATGTTCCAATAAAATATTTCATATTAACAATAATCAACCAGATTTAATTTAGCTTCTGCTGGGTACTTAAAAACGAAGTTTTAGTTGCATGAAATTCCTAATTCAATCAATTAGCAGATATTATGGAGAAAAAATTATAAAATTCAACAAATTCTATGTTGTAACTTGAAACAATTTTTCTTACTTAAGAAAGTTTTTTTTTTTTTTTTTTTTTTTTTTTTTTTTTTTTTTNTTTTTTTTTTTTTTTTTTTAAATGCTTGATGGACTTAGGTCACAAAAAATATACTGATTGACAAATGTTTAATGTATTTGCCACAAAGTTTCTGAGTTAAATTTTTATTCTCTCCATAGAGAAAATAAATAGTTAAAATTAGTCCTAGGTACAGTTTGAACCTTTCAAAAAATTTTGATATGTAAGGTATAAAAAATAATTTTAAAGAGTGTAATTTCACATGAAATACAAATTTTGAACAAAACTGGTCATATGGTTCTCTAGTAATCAAAATTTAAATATACAATTTTTTTTAAAATTTAAAAAACTCAGAAAGTTTCCAACATGTTTCATTCCACTTTTGAATTCCATCATTTAAAATTGCATTTTTAAAATGGTATAAAAATTAATGTACATTATAATTCACAATTTTTGTAATTGTCATAAAATAAATTAATAAAATTTTAAATACTTATTTTTTACATGGATTAATTTTTGGTTAGCTTGAAAAGTTTTCCAGTTATAGAGAAGTATGTAAAAAGTGAAATTAGCATTAGTGAGGGGTCCAAATTTTGACTGCTTTCTCAACCTAACCTGTTGGTACTAAATTTTGCAGATCTGTCTTTTTGTGTCTGCTTTTATAACTTTAAATATCGTCTCTTCTAATTAGTAAACATATTTAAAGTTAGACCCTAGAGTCATTAAGATTGACTCTTAGTAAATAAGAGTACCATTAGATCAAAACTAATTCAGGATGTTCATTTTAAAAAAAAAGAAAAAAATTTTGTGCACTATGCATCTTTCTCCTAAGTACGCATCTGTTGTCATTACTGTTATTAATCGAATAAGTTAAAAAAATTTCACTATGTAATGGTCTAAATTAAATTGGTATAAGCAAACAATATTTTTGTAAATACATAAATTATTTTTACCTGTATTATTTAGAAAAGAAAGAAAAAGTATGAAAATTATTTTCACATAATCAAACCATAAATTAAGTGAAAAAATTTTAATTTTTGATATAATATGAGCGGATGATACGATATAATTTGATATAATATGATAATATGAGCCACAATATCACTAGTTGTCATTGTGTGAGAGCAAGTTTTGTTCCTCGTAGGATTGAAACCTACCCATCATTCAGCTCAATAAATATCAGTACGTCTGTACAAGGAGTCAGTGTACACTGTAGATTACATTGTCACAATCACGTTTGTCTAGAACTTTTTGGTCTCCTGACCCCTTTTTTCAACAATTACCTAGCTATTGGCGGAGTACTTAACTGTTTTTTTGTTAATGACAGTTTATTTCTTTTAGTATGAATTACATCTAAGTGAATTATCGAAAATTGTAATAAATATTTTAAGTGGATAAATAATGAATCATTTTTTTGTAGCTGTGACGTATTTTACAGCCACTAGTCTGCGTCCACTTCTAGTCTGAGTTATGAACAAAATTAGGGTGTTATGAACAAAACAGCATAACTATTATATCTCTTATTTTCTCATTTGCTACGAACCATTTTTCAATGAAATTTTAAGATTTTTCCATGTTAAATAAAGCCATCATAATTTTAAAAAAAAAAAAAAGAAATTGGAAGTCTTAAAAAATTTTTCAATGTGAAAAATAATTGTTTATTGTGGCTTTACCCTTGTATTGAAGCTACGTTTTTTGAACTATGAACAAAAATAACAATAAATACAATCACTATAGGAAGTATTTGGCAACACATTTTATAATAAGCGAGAATATATATATGTGTCACGGTGAAAGACCGAAATCAGTAGTTGTTGACTTTCACCGATGAATGTCGACAAACACCAAATACGTCGGTGAAAGATTGAATATTTCATTACATTCTTGTACATTCGGACCCTCACCGGTGTATGTCTGCAATCACAGATATGCTTTGGTGAATGTCCGAAATATTTATTACATTCAATTCAATATGAATTTATTCATGGATATAATTACATTCATTCGATATTTTGACCCTACACTGATGTTTTTTTAAGGTTAAGTGCCACTGCCCGGTATACCCTAGATTGATGTTTTTTTAAAGTTAAGTGCCACTACCCGGTATACCCTACACTGATGTTTTTTTAAGGTTAAGTGCCACTGCCCGGTATACCCTACACTGATGGTTTTTTAAGGTTAAGTGCCACTGCCCGATATACCCTACACTGATGTTTTTTTAAGGTTAAGTGCCACTGCCCGGTATACCCTACACTGATGTTTTTTTAAGGTCAAATGCCATTGCCCGGTATATATTTGCCCGATACTCCAAACACTGATGTTTCTTCTAATCTATCGTCAGTAAGTATTAAAATATAGAATAAATATAAATATATCAAATAAATATAATATTAACGAATAAATTAATATAAAATTGGATATAACAAATATTTCGGACATTCACCAAAGCGACTATGTGATTGTTGACATTCACCGGTGAGAGTCAGAAATAAGGGTATTTAGCAAATATTTCGGATATACACCAAGCGACTATGTGAATGTTGACATTCACCGGTGAATGTCGACATTCTCCAGATTTCGGTGTTTCACCGGAATATGTATATATATATTTGGAAAAAACGGGAAAAATAATATTTACAAATTAGATAATATTACAACAGGATAATATTAATAAAAATAATGTATGCATATTTTCAAATAATATTTTTAGCATACTTTAATGTTTTTTGTAATTATTTTAAGGATTTAATAATCTCTTTATTTTACTTATATGATTAGGATTTTTAAAATAAATTTTTCGCTGTAATAAATTCTTCCAACTGCTTTTATCAGTTTTTTTTATTAATATCATAAATATTTATTTTCACAGCATTATCAAGCAAATATAACTTTTAAAAACACAGTTGTAATTTTTTGTAGAATGAATGTGAAGAAGTTAAGGACTCTAATATTTTAAGTGTAGCTGCTGGGACAATTCCATTTATAGAAAATAATCCTGCAGTTCGTAGTACATTTACTTGTGTCGTAAGTATGTTTACTCTTTTTTCGCGTGATATAAGTATTTACACTGAGTTAAATTTTTACAGATTACCAATAGTTTTGATCCTTTCAAAACTGCACATTTTAATAAACTTTTTATTCCAGAAATTTCATTTTCTGTTATTTTGGCTTTTAAGTATTGAATTAAGAATTTGATAATCACAAAGCATAAAATATAACAAGTGTTAGAAGAACATTGACTAAACAGTTATCATATCAACATGAGATAGAAAAGAAGTTCAACATATCATTTAATTGCTTAAGGTATTAAACCAATTTTGTTAAAATTCAAACTATAAACATAATTATAAAAATATTTTTTTCTATGATTTCAAATTTGATTCTTCAAATTGAGTGGATTTTACGTTGAAAAATTTAGGTTTTTTTTCCCAACCCTAGATGATTTAATCACCATCTCTTACTAATCATTCAACTCAAAAGACTACGATTAGATTGATGTTTATTTTTATATTTCTTTTATTTACATTAAACAAATTAGCGTAATATCATTCCAATTTTTTTAAACTTTACATATGGATTAAACTTTACATTGGAGTTTGCTATATTTGAAGAAATTATACTTTTACGGTAATATCTGTGTTTTGCAAAACTGGCAAAAGTCAGTTGTCTATTACACAAATGTTTAAAAGTTAGCCTATTTCCTTTAAATCTAATAGAATAGGTATTCTATTATCAATTAGACTTTGTATTAAAACTGCATTTTTGATTTCAAAAGTAAGCTACTTTTTCTATAAATGTGTGCTGTTCCGATATATTTTCTTTTCATTTTTAACAATAATCAAGTGTTATAAAATACTAACTGATTGTAATATTTGCATATATTTAATTAAAGGATTTTTAGGGAAAATAATTTAGATACTTTTTTTGAATTTTCAGAAAAGCAGGCAAGCTATATCCTTTCCTTTCACAAATGCGAAATATCGTACTGATGTGAAGTACATGGAATTGACATCTCCTCAAAAACCACTTGTGAAAACAACCATCTATGATCAGTATAATTTGGACAAATATCCTTTGGGTACAAATGCTGTAATAGCTATAATGTCATACTCAGTGAGTGGGACTTATTATATTTCCTTCTTTTTTCTTCAGAAAATTGTTCAAGAAAACTTTAAACGTAGTAATAATTAAGTAATCAAACCAATAAAAATACTATAATTAAATCAATAAAAATATTTCTTATGCTAAACTGAATAATGTATTTATCTTTTTATTGATTTTAAGTTTGATACTTCAGCTTATTGCTTCATTTTCTCCACATAAGTGTATGATTATACAGTGAATAAAAAAATAAAATATTAATTCAAAATCACTAACTTTTTTTCAGAAATTAATTTCTTTATAAATTACTTATTTTTTCCTTTTAATTTTAAACTTGATTTTTCTTGTTCCCTAATATTAATGTGTTGTTTCCTAACCAGAATTCCATAGCTATCCCTATTTTACTCAATTTTATTCATTTGTTTAAAGCAAAGTTCTGATTTTAACAAATATTGCTTGTGAATCTCTGTCCTCAGAAATCAACTTCTTTAGAAATTGCAGCTTCAGTGATTAGAATGATAAATTGATCTAAATCAGTATTTGAAAAGTTCCTAAGTGTTTGAACCAGTCAAAAACTTTTGTCAACTAGTTAAAAAATGTAAGCATATATATCATGATTGGTATTTCGTCCACAAGAAAGCTACTTTTTTCAGGACTGGAAGAAACTAAAAAAAAGCAAAAGAAACTAGTCAAAATAGAAGAAACTAAAAAAGACCAATGCAATTGTTTAGAAGTATTATAAGCGAGGTAAGATGAAAATAAGATTTCAACAAAATCAAGAAAACCTGTTTTTTTTATTAATATAATTAAATATAATTAACATGTTTAATTATATTTAAGCAATTAATTAAAATTAACTGAACCATTCCAAAATATTTCATAGAATTTAACTATTCCATTTAACTATAAATTATTATTAATAAATAGTTCAAAAATATCCCCTTTATTTCCTTAAATATGCTAGCATATTAAAAAAAAACATATTTAAAGAATTCAAATATGCTTTTATATTGCTTTACAACTTCCCTTAACATGCAAATAAACACTCATTTAAATTATATCTTAGTAACGTATGTTAGAGAGGTGATTCCTCTCCTCCCCCCTATTTTAAATTAATTTTTTTAAATCCATTGAATAAGTACAAACTTTAATACTACTTTACTTAAGGCAATATTTCATATAAATTCTTTAATAATAATAATTAAACAATACTTAAAAATAATGGAATGATGAAAGGACAAAAATGACGTGAGTTGCATATGAAATATAGTGAGTTTTGGCATTAATTGTTTAATATTTATTTTATTATACTATTTATTTTAACATGCTAGGACTTACAGTTTAATAATATCAGAGTTTGTAGTTGTCCTGAAATTTCAGATTTTCTTGATAAAAAGATATTTTGTTTTTTGTCCTGATATTTTTTATTAGTATGTGTTCAGAACGGGCCATTTTTTATCAATACTATTGCAGTTCCTAAAGTAATTTGTTGATTTGAATAATTAAAAGATTTGGATTTTAGAACCTAATATTTTTTTATTTTGATTAATATTCATTCAGGAAATTATTTTGGAATACAAATGCTAAGACACACTATCACTTTGTTTTCGTTTTGAAATTATTGAAACCCCACTTAAAATATCTTATTAAAGAAGTAATGAACTTGATTGTAAATTTTAAATAAATATTAGTATGAAATAATTTTAAATAATTAACTGAGGTTTTTTAATGCAACATTTTTATTAAAACGTCTTGATTCGTGATCGCAACACTCGAATACGCCATCTGGGGAGAGACCGGTTTCATGCCTTTAGCCCTTCTCCCTTCCCTCTCCTCTTTTCAGTTGTATAGGAATGTACTACGATATTTTCCCCTTTCTTAATATTTTTCCTTTTTATTTAATAAAAATATTTTTTAAAATTTCCATGATACTTTTCTTTAGAACTATGTTTAATGCAGTTTTCAGTTCCATATAGTTTTTCAAGTCAAAAGATTTTAATCTATTTGAAAATCAAGAGAGAAACTAACGTACTTCCTTCCTCTATGACTTTCCACACGTTAATGGGGAAAGCATGTGAAGTGTTGCCATAGGAAAAGAGTTCTGCTCTACGCCACCTGCAGCCCATTTCGATCGCCAATTATTGATCTCAAACTGTTAAGAGTTGCTCAATCCTCCATTGATGAAATTCTGCTGTTAAAGTTGTTTTTTTTTTTTTTTTTTTTTTTTTTTTTTTTTTTTTTTTTTTTTTTNTTTTTTTTTTTTTTTTTTTTTTTTTTTTCAAAATTAAGTAACTCTGGAATTAAAAATAGTATAGTTTTTTTTATCTATTTTTTGCGATAAAATTTACCTTTATTGTACCAAAAGTAGAGCAAATTGAACTTTTTTTCTAATTTGATGTTCATTGTTTTTGAAAGTAAACTGGTGTTTGCATATACTGTACCAAAAAATGTCATGGTTTTTCTTTAGCCTACAATTCTTTTTACACAATGCAGGATTAAATAAAATAAAATACAATGTAAATATTGTAAATAAATTCTGAATATTTTTTTTAGATTTGTGTTTTAATACAAAAAATACATTTTGGAAATAATACAAAAATGAATAAAATCATAATACAATACAAATTGTTAACACTTATAACAAAAAAATGTGAAACAGAAAAAAAATCAAGCAAATACTCAAATTTTGTATTTAAAAAAAATAAAAAATTTTCAAACCATAAAGAGATTTTGCAAAATGAGCGAAGAGTTGGAAAAAAATTTTATAGCTTTTGACGCACTAAATGTTGATATCAGTAATAAACTGTCAAGAAGGAAAATGAGGTAGAATTGGTATTTTTATCAACAAAAAGAATATTCTTTTCAAATGTATGGCAAAATCTTTCTTTTCTTTTTTTTCTTTAGGAAAAATAACTTGGCTGGTAGTAATTTTCGCTTGTTCGCTTTACAAACATAAAAGGTTAAAAATTCATTGAAAAAATTAAGGTAAAATGATACTCGTTTTTCACTTTTCTGTATTGATATTAGTGATTAAAATGTCTTTATTTTACCCATTTTTGTATACTCTTTCTTCCTTAAACAACTATAAAATATACTATCCTCAATATATGTCTATATACATATAAAATTACTATATGAAAATTCATCAAGTCCTAAGTCATTTTTGCATGTTTGCTGTATAAACATAAAAGATTAAAAACTCATTAAAAAATTAAGGTAAAAAGATACTCATTTTTCACTTTTCTCTATTGATATTAGTAATAAATTAAAATGTCTTCACTTTACCTTTTTATGTATACTCTTGCTCCCTTAAACAGCTGTAATATATACTATCCTCTTTCTCTGTATAAAATTTTTACATGAAAATTCATTAAGTCCTAAGAAATTTTAACATATTTGCTTTATAAACGTAAAAGGTTAACAGGGGTCTGTTTAGAAGAAATTTGGGTCCGTTAACAGACCCTTCACAAAATATCTTTTCATAAAAACGGACCCTTCACAAAATATTTTAACTTAAAAAACGGACCCTTCACAAAAGGATTTTTCTTTTAATCGGACCCTTCACACATTTGTTTATCTGCATTATTGTTTTGTTAATTGAATAAACCCTTTCCAGGGCAGAAAACAAGAAAGATGGATGTAAACGAATTAAGTTTTGTCTTCGGCAGGCGATTCTTCCATTATTCGTCCGAAATTAATATTCTGCGTTTAGCAGTATAGGCTAAATACCAAATATTTGTATATTGCATCTCTAATTTAGAAGCAGCAATTGTTGTTTATTTTTTAAAATTTAATTTTTTTATTTATAATTTTACAGTGTTGAGCATAATCTTGTATGTCTTTATAATTTAAAAACTCCTTGAAAAAAAATTTTTTTTTTTGCAATAACGAACCCTATTTGCACAAATTCATAAAAGCGGACCCTGGTTGAAAGAATGTGAGTAGTTTTTTCACAATTTCACGAAAAACGGACCTTTCATAAAATGTCTGGACAGACCCCTGGTTGAAGACTCAATAAAAAATTAAGTTAAAATGATGCTCGTTTTTCACTTTTCTGTATTGATTATAATAATAAATTAAAATGTCTTCATTTTACCCTTTTTTGTGTACTCTAGCTCTCTTAAACAGCTATAAAATATACTACTATCCTCAATATGTATATATATATAAAATTACTATATGAAAATTCATTAGATCTTAACTAGGTATAAAACATTTGCCTTCAAACAGTTACCAATAAAAATCTTATTAATATTATTGTTGCAATTTTTTTATCTCTACTTTTTATTTTATTTTAAGATTAATCATAATCTTTTAATATGATATTGAACTGTTTGTTAAAAAAAGGAATATAACAAAAGTTACAACAGAACAACTTGTCAGTCTGAATTTTATTCTTTAAGATGTATTGCTAGACATAAATGTATTTCTTTCATTAATAAATAGTATGAAAATTAATAAAAAAAATCATATTTTAATATGTTTTGATCAATCTTTTTAATAAATCTTTGATTGTCATATAATCCTAATTAAAAATCATATGTATGCAATTGTTGTAGAATCAGGAATCAAATTAAGGCCAGTCTTTTTCTGGTATGGTGATGCAAATATAATTAAAATAAAAGTTTGCAAAATATATTTCATACAGTTTAATAATTTTATATTGACTTGAAGGCTTCACTCTTGATTGCCATGATTATTGTGCTTTTAACTAATAAGATTGTTAACAGTTATCAGCTATGTATAGAATCTTTAAGGGGCGTTAAAAATGAACGTAATGCATATGTAATTTAATGTTCAGATAAAGTTTGAATACTGTATATTATTTTGCAGGGTTATGACATGGAAGATTCTATTCTGATAAATAAGTCATCTGTTGAAAGAGGTTTAATGCGAGACATGGTTCAGAAAACTGTCATCTTCGATTTTCAAGACCTCGCCGACGAGCTGAAATGTAACATAACAGAAATAAGTTTTCAAGCAAACTCTAATGACCCATATATATCATTGAATCTGGACTCACAAGGTTTACCATATGTTGGGGCTAATATATTTCCTGATCAGCCTTTGTTAAGGTAAGTGATGATTTGCGTTTATTATAGCAAGTAGGGCAATACAAAATTAATTTCCAAACTTATTACATTTTAAATTAATATGAGATAATTTCTGTTGCTTTTTGTATACCCATTTTTTTTTCTGCACGAAAAACTTAATTTGTTGCAAAAGCTTTTTAATCACTTTATGTTTCTAAGTTTTACCAGGTGTTATTGTCCTGCCAATTTGGAAGGATAATTTTAAATCACCCTTTATATAATTTTTATTACTTTAATGTTACTATTGTTTTTTTTTTTAACAAATTATTTTTTGATCTTTGATAGATAAATTTTCTTATTGATAGATTTAAATAACATTATCTAAATGGGAGTATGAATGGGATCACTAAAAAAGTTCACTACAACCAAGTGTTCACTATATTCTAGGTTCACTGTAGCTGTATGATATCTATATATTATTGATCTATATAACACAATTCTGTAAACTGCAATTCTCCTTAAATATCGAAGTAAAAAGCAGAAGAGTTAACTTGTGAAAGGTTATCATCACTTAACTCCAATTTTTCTTAGATTTAAATAACTTATTTTTGATTAATAAAGGTTAGGTACCAGTGTGGTGAAAATTGGTTCAGTTACATTATAAGTTTAATGGCTTCTTATAATTGCTACATTCAAGAACAGTAAGGTTAAAATTTATTGTACTTTTACAAGCATTTTCCTGAGAGGAAAACTCTCAGTAAAATGTTGCTATTAATATACTTATGACTGCAACTTTTAGTTCATCATAACTGGCATAACTGTTGAAAAGCTGTGTATTTTTTCTAAATAAAATGCATAATTTTTTTTATCTTGTTAATTTTAAATTAATATCTACTGACCATACTAACATGCTATGAATTTTTATTGTTTTCCACAGTGTATACTGTAAGAAAAGTGGCACGTATATCATAAAATTATTCCAAGAAAAGAAAAAAGCAGTTATTCAATCTATTAGATTTATGGGTACACAAACTGCTACAGCCAATAATCCACTTCCTGACGAAACAAGGAAGATTGCCATAACATATGGCTTCAAAGTAAATTTTATTCTTCGTGTTTAATTAACTAAAATAATAGCTTCTTTAAAATATTATATAGTTATTTTCCAACTGCAGCTATAACTTTTAAAAAAAAAAAAAATTTCTAGAGAATACCCGAAGTTGGTGATAAGTTTAGCAATCGTCACGGCCAAAAGGGTGTCTGCGGATACATAATGCCTGCTGAAGACCTTCCATTTTCCACCAGTGGCATAGTCCCAGATGTTCTTTTCAATCCTCATGGATTGCCTTCAAGAATGTCCATTGGTTAGTATCAGAAAATTTATTATTTTGTTACCCTAATCACAAACTGTTTGATATTGCTATTTATCAGTATTATATTTCTCTCAAATATATATCCATGTAAAGTACATTTGTATCAAAAATAAATTTACAATTTTCTCTATTAAGCATTTACTAGTTTTATTTTTAAAAGTTTTATGTATTTAGCTTTATTTATAAAGGTAAGCTTTCAACTACTATGCTATGTGCGACTGCTAAAGCTATATGGGACTAAAATTGTTTATGACTCACAATAAAGATGCGATTTTGTTAACTAGCAAGTAGCGAATTGCAAATTTAAAATATGCTATACAGAAAAACGCAGTAGCCAAAACTGCTAGTGTCCGGTGCTGATCTGGTTTTTCCGTCTCTTTCCTCATGGTTTTTCAAATGCCAATATTTTAATATAACATTATTTAAGCACACACATTAGGAATTAGAATTGTCGCTTATGATATACTCTAATATTTTTTACACGATTGTTATTGCAACATCTGAAGTTTGATTTTGAATAAATACTTTTTAAGATGCTTAATTTGTGGCAATTACATCATAAATCCACATCATTTTTAGACCATTTCTACATAGTTATACCAAACCCAGATATTTTAATATATAATTGTGGCATTCGAGTTTGAAATTTGAATAATAACTTTGTGGCTAACTTAATTCTTGAATATTTCATCTAACTTTTCTGACCGTTTTCTCCACTGTTATTTTTGTTTTTACTATCCTTTTTTCGTGGTTTTTCAACTAACAATATTTTTAATGTCATACTGTTATGACACAAATTCCAAATTAGAGTAATCACTTTTTAGGACGCGATATTTGTGACTGTACCATCGTAAATCAACGTGATATCTAATTGCTTTTTTACGGCACTAATTACTGTTATCTTTTACACCATTTTTAAAAAAACAATATTTTATATATATTTTTACTATCAACTCAAAATTTCGTGTTTAACTTATGACTTGCGCAATTTTTGACCATGTTAGTTTACGTTGGTTGTTAGAAAACTTTTTTGGTAGATATTGTGATTTATTGATCTCAAATTTAATACATTATTACTATACGCAACATTTTGAAATGCGAGGATTTCGCATATTTAAATAATCAAATCATAAAATGCTCAAATTCATCTTTGTAATTTTCTCATTAAAAGCCTTCAATATATTTTTTTTTTTTTTTTTTGGCAGATTTCTTTAGAAACTGTATTTCTTTGGCTTCTGTTTAAATGTGATAGCATAAATATTTTCTAAATGATACCTGAAGTGTAAATTATGGTTATGTTGATACTTGCCATTCACTATCTTTCAGTCTTTTGTGATTTAATGACTTTAGTGACCACAAAGTAACTTTTTTGTTATTGGAAAATGCACATCAAAGCCTTTTTTTGTTTAACTTAGCTTAAAATGTAAATCTTTTGTATTAATTTATTTTTGTATACCTAACTAACCTGAAATTATGCTTTTTTTTGTTTTTGTTTTTTGTAGGTATGATGTTAGAAATCATTGCATCAAAGTCAGCAATGGTTAATGGTCGAAGACAGAAAGTTGAACCTTTTGAATTTACTACTGAAACTGCTTTAGACACGTTCGGAAATTATCTGGCTAAAGGTTCAAAACTTTTTAATATGTTATAGTATGGGTTAAATTAATCCATAATTTCCAAACAATGAACATTAAAAAATTAACAAAAAACAATTTAAATTTTGAAAAGGAACAATAAAAAGTTAAAAAGAAACTAAGTATAATTTCAATTAAGTCTGGTAATTGAGAGACCATTATTTTTCTTGCTTCCCAATATAATTTAGTGCTCTCTTGCTGTTATCCTGGGAATTTTTTTTAATATCTTCTCTATTTTCTTTTCTCTCTAGTTATACTTAATTGAAAAATCTTAAGTTTTTATATTTTTAATCTCACAATAAAATTATGAAGATAATTTCTCCTTGTCCTTGTTACTGCTTATGTAATTATAGGATGAGTAGTCTTAATTTTATTCATTAACTCGTGTAATTTTTTATTATTCCTGCTCCATCACAAAAAAAATTTAAATCTCTTATTTTAATCAATTGCCCTAAATTCATTTTTGAAAATTGAAAAGTAAGTTTAGTAGTAAAACCATTTGAAATATAATATCATTAATTGAGAAATATTTTCATACTTTAAGCTGTATATTACAGGGATGAGATTTTTTAGGGATTTCTGCTTTTGTCTCGAATTTCAGCCTTTTTATCGAAAACTCTGATTCTCTAAAAGTTTAGTTTTTATATATATATATATATATAAATATTACGCTTTTTCTGAAAATTCAGTCGTTGAAATAAAATTATATTTATTTCTGATTTTCATAGATAATCAGAAAATTAACGCTGCCAACCCTTACGCATTTTTACTTATTTTAGCCATTTTCTCCACTTATACGTGTAGAAAAAAAAAGTTTAGGTATTTAGCTCGTATATTCGTAATTCAGACATCTCTGTTTGCTGGCGCGAAAGCAAACAAAATAATTTTAAAGAATAGCGGATTATTTGCGGTGAAAATATTTATATGCTCATTCAATTAATCTTGTAAATTTTTATTTATTATGGCTAAACAAAAACAATACAAAAAAGCCTTTAAGAAATCCCAAGCCCAGAATCTGCTAATGTATCGATTCTTATTTGCGCAATTTTAATATCGTTATTTAATCTTATAATATTTAAAAATAAATCGCGATTTGTATTTACGCATTTTTAAAACACTATGTAATGATTCGTATTCGCGTGAGTTTCATATTTACGTGATTTAAAAGACACATATCAGGATTCATATTCTCTAAATTAAAAATCAAATATTGCAATACTTATTCACACAATTTTAAATCTTGCATGGGATTCATATTCCTATAATTTTGAAATTAATCATCGGGATTTATAATCACATGGTTTAAAAATCACACTTTTTTGTCAAATTTTTGGATATCATAGCTTCTACATATTTGTTTATAACATATATGTAGAAGCTATTCATTCTTGGATTTCCTCTTTTTTACTTTCTGACTACTCTCATCCCTGAAATTAATTCAAAACTCATTGTAAATTTTATAGGATGTTGCATTAAAAAAAAAATGCTCTTGTTATTTAATTTTTTTCTTAGTTATATCATGGATTATATGATTATTAGGATAAATAATTGAGTGTTTATTTCTTATATACTTTTTCTTTATTAACTAACTTTATTAAAATTTTGTATTCCTTTAGCTGGGTTCGATTTCTATGGGACTGAAAAATTTTATAGTGGGACATCTGGTAATGAACTGGAAGCTGATATTTATTGTGGATCTGTTTATTACTTTCGATTACACCATGTTGTGGAAGAAAAATATCAAGTATATACTTTTTAATTTATTAAAAATTTGTCTTTTACAAAATGTAGTAGCTAAAAGCTGTTCGCATATTCAATAAAACAATTGATTATTTATTATGGGACCATTCTCTATGAATGAGATTATTTCTCATGGGACCATTCTCTATCAGTGAGATTATTTCTCATGGGACCATTCTCTATGAATGATAAGTACAGGAAAACAACAAATTCTAGTCAACATAAAAATTTAATTATGACTTGAAAATGTAAGTAACAAGGAAATAAAAATTAGTATTAAAATATCAAAGAAAAAATTTTGATTAAAAAGTTATGAACTTACTGCAAAAATATTTATGATGCAAAAGAAAGATCAGGGTGTATACCGTTTTTAAAAAGTAAATAAAGGTGCTCATTTTTATTTTAAAAGCCTAAAAGATGCTTTTTCATTGGGTGTTTTTAAAAATCGTTTAATTTTCCCTTTTCCAAAATGGCATACTATTTTTTCTTTACTTTGTCAATTTTAGCCACAAATTATGCAAAAAGAGAAGTTTTTCTATTCAACGTTTTCACAATTCATTCAGCCACTATCCACTTTGGAGTACCATTGGTCTGTAGGGTATGAAAGTGCCAATCATTTTATATGCTTAATGGCATACTTGTGTGTTAGCATGTGCTTATAGTCAGCTTGATTCGGTGGGAATAATTTTTGCACTCTCTGGTGCAACTCTGCTGCATTTTACAAGAGATTCTCAATTCCAGGCTTCATTTTCTGCCTTCTGAAATCGAACCGAAAAGTCTCTTAAAATTTTGCTGATCATGGGGACTAACTAAACATTTCTAAAAAATTTTGCTTAATAGCCAAAGAAAATTTTATTTCTCTTGTTAATTTCATCATTGAAGTGCCATCGTCTTTATCACTGGCAATCTAATTTCTTCTCAAGCTTATCTATTTATAGATTAGTACCATAATCCTTAAAACTGTACTGGAGGATCATGAGCAGTAAAGAATCACCAAGCTTCATCTCCTCAAAATTTAAATCTCCCTTTTATTTACTTAATTTAATAAAGATAAGAATTAAGATATTTAATTGTAAGATTTCTTTGAGGGACCATACAACAGTTGCCTGAAATGTTTGTAAAGTTTTATTACTTCATTACTTATTTTTGCTGATTACTTTTTATTGTTACTTTTAAAATTTCCAATTATCTTTAATTGTTTTATGAAAAACTCAATATTATTTAAAGGCAAGGTTTTAAAAATTTATGAAGTGAGGGGCTTTCTCTATTATAAATGCAGCAAATAATTTAATGTTATTCAAGTTTGTCATTCCAAAAAAATTATTCATCTCTCAATGACTTGATTTAAGAACATTCAAAATAAATTGAATTACCTTAATTTTAATCTCTTAGATTTATCAAAGGTTATGAGTGACGGGACCATTTAATAATTGACTTTTGTCAAAAATGTTTAGCTTCTACTCGTATTTTATGTGAAAATTATTTAAATTGTTTATAATTATTTTATTAAAGAAATACTGAACCAAGTAACAAATATTGAACTAAATACATATAACGAAAACATTGCCTATTCATATTTAACATTAAAATACAACCAAAATACAATATATTAATTTAAATACATGTGAAGTTAGAAAATCTTTTATGAAGAAAAATAGGTCTAGGAAAGATATATGTAAAATTGTATTATAAAGGAAAGATGATGCAATTGGTGTTTCAGGTGGTCTAATTGAAATAGAAAGTAAAAATAGGATAAAAATCATTATAAAAATTTTATTTCATTGCAGACCTTGAGGTAAAATAAGAAGAATGTTATCCAATGAACTTATGAAGCACAATAATAAACTTTATGTAACATGATTAAGTATTGGCCATGGGACATAAATTCCCTGCAACCTGCCTAATCGAAAACCAATTTAAAAGTCTTATTTAATCAACGCTTGGTAGGACAGGAGAGATCCATTATGCCGAAAGAAAAGCCAATTCAACCAACCTTACCTCATGTTGATATTTAAATAATTTGGTGAAAGATTTAAGGCTAAATAGTTTGTTGAAAATTAAAGTAAACCTGATAACGTGGAGGCTAATATTTACTGTGGTAGAAGAAAGAAATGTTAAAAATAGATTTTGATTTTCCGTTGTGATATTAAATAATAATTAGTTGTACGCTTGCATGAAAAGTTAGATGTTATATTTATTGAGAATAAAAATATTCGTATCCGCTCTTTATAAAATTTATTAAATGATTTGTTTATTTAAAGAGGGAATAGAAATAATTAAATTTATGAAATATAAGAATTTTAAAGGCTTATTAATATGTATTGTTAACATGCATTTACATTACATATTAATTAGCATGTGTTAACATCACATGTATTTATTAGTTATGAATAATAAATTCTATAAATAATATAAAAGTGGTTCCAAAATTACGAAGAAAAAAATTATGATGAGCTATATAAACAGTTCTATACTAAAAGGATAAGAACGTCCTAAATTTATTAATTTTTAAATTATTAAATTCATGCAGATTTTTAAATTTGTGTTCGTGAGAAATATCTGAAGCATTAAGTAGTTTGATTTTCTTTTCTTTTTATTGAGTTGTGAATTATGAATTATTGTTAGAATTTTATATATTATTTTTTTTCCTACCTGAAAGGTGAAGTCAGTTAATGAGATTGACCCCGCTACACGCCAGCCTGTGAACATGCATTCTGGTGCCTTACGTTTTGGAGAAATGGAACGTGATGCAATCTTAGCCCATGGTGCAATAGAGCTTACTATGGATAGATTATTCCATAGTAGTGATGAGTGTGTCGTAAGTTTTAAATATTTTTTGTCATGTAAATGTAAGTTGACGTATAATTCTTTTTTATTATAATTAAAAAAAGAGACTTATGATTGAAAGCTTAAAGAGAAACTATTCCACAACCACGTAAGAAATTATGTAGCTTAAATTACTTTATTTTATTCTTAAAACTTGATCTAGGTCTAGTAGTCAGTATTCAAGTAAACAATGAAAGAATAAATAAGGAATATCCAGCTTCATCTACATGAAATTACATAAGAATAAAAAAATAAAATTACAAAAAAAAAACATGTTAGGTATTTGGAAATATTAAACTTTCAAATAATGTCCAATGTAATTTAAGCCCTCTTTTTGAACCTTTAAATTACAATGTATTTTGGGGGGGCACAAGTAAATTATTTGAACAGAAAGTTTTTTTTTCTCCCAAAATCATACTCTGAGCATAGAGCATAAGCAATTTACCTAATCTATAAAATCAATACAAAGATAAGAAAGGTTATACAATTATTATTCAGTGATGTTAGCTTCTTAATTAAATTCTTCAGACTAAGCTTTGTTCATAACACGATCAAAAGACCAAACATCATAAATTGAGACTGAGTTTATATCTTTGAATTATTATTAAAGATTTTTTTTGTGTGTGTGTTTAATTTAAATCTTTGGAGAACTGAATTTTAAGTAGTAGTCAGTATTCAAGTAAACAATGTAAAAATAAATAAGGACTATCCAGCTTCATCTACATGAAATTGCATAAGAATAAAAAAAATAAAATTACAAAAAAAACTTGTTAGGTATTTAAAAATATTAAACTTTCAAATAATGTCCAATGTAATAATGTAATTTAAGCCCTCTTTTTGAGCCTTTAAATTACAATGAAATTTTTGGGGGTCACAGGTAAATTATTTGGACAGTAAGGTTTTTTTCCCCAAAATCATACTCTGAGCATAGAGCATAAGTAATTTACCTAATCCAGGGCTGATAGTGCTCCTAAAAAAATACGGATTTTTCACTAACCATGATCCAGAAGTTTCCGGGGATCGAAGGTTCAGACGTTTCAAAAAATCATTGATCACAAAAATTTCCGGAAATCAAATTTTCAAAGGTAGAACTTAAAAACACAGTTTATTTTATTTGTTTGTAAGGGAGAGCCAGATACTTTATAAGCTTATATTCAAGATTAATATTCATTTTTTATCAGTAAATAGTTATTATAATCATAAACTCAAGAAAGAAAGACATATTTGTAAATTTCAATTACTTCTCCAGGTCATCATAGGTATGTGTAAAATTTTAAATATATTTTAAGTAAATTAAGAAATATTGAGAAATAGGAAAAAAACCTTGTTTAATTTTTTTTTCTAATTTTTCGATTTACACTTTATTTTTTTTATTCACAAAATTTTCCGGAATTTTGACTTGAGCTCACAATCATCCCTGCTAATCTGTAAAATCAATACAAAGATAAGAAAAGTATACAATTATTATATATCTTAGCTTCTAAATTAAATTCATCAGACTAAGCATTGTTAATAATCCAATCAAAAGATCAAACATCATAAATTGAGACTGAAAGAGAGAAAATTGATTCCCATGCTGAGTGTTTCATATATGCATAAAATATATTTTATAGGTAAGACTGAGAGTTATATCTTTGAATTATTATTGAAGATTATTTTTTTGTATTTAATTTAAATCTTTGGAGAACTGAATTTTCAATTTGGTTAGAAATTTGTTTTTAACAACTATGAATTTAGCAGGGCTGATTGTGCTCCGGAAAAAATCCTGAATTTTCGCTAACAGTGATCCGGAAGTTTCCGGAGATTGAAGGTCCAGACGTTTCAAAAAATCATTGATCACTGAAGTTTCCGGAAATCAAAGTTTAAAAGGTGGAACTTAAAAACACAGTTTATTTTATTTGTTTGTAAGGGGGAGCCAGAGAGATACTTTATAAGCTTATATTCATGATTAATATTCATTTTTTATCAGTAAATAGCTGTTATAATCATAAACTCAAGAAAGAAAGACTGTAAATTTTAATTACCTCTCCAGGTCATCATAGGTGTGTGTAAGTGGTATAGGTATGTGAAATTTTAAATATATTTTAAGTAAACTAAGAAATATTGAGAAAAAGAAGAAAAAATTGTTCAAATTTCTTTTTAATTTTTCGATGTAANTTTTTTTTTTTTTTTTTTTAAACAAGAAATTTTCTGGAATTTTGACTTGGGCTCACAATCACCCCTGATTTAGGGTTTGACTTAAGAACTGAATGCATATAAAATCCACTATTTTGAATCTTAAAACAGGGGACTCATACAATCAAAAATACTCTATGTATTCTTTGTAGACAATAAACACAGTTGAAGCTCTCTTCATCTGACTGTAAAGTAAGTAATAATTTACTGCAACAGCCTGTTGTGGGTAATGGAAGTTAAGGTTCCTCAATTTTGTGACCAACACTGTGATAGTGGCAATGTTAGCATTGCACACAGGCTGCTTTTACTTCAATGATAAGCTGGTACCCATTGATTTGAAGCTGGGTGGGCTTCTAGCCGGCACTAGGGATTGAACACCAGTTCTTCATAACAACAGTTTCAGTGCCTTAACCACGGAACCATCAAGGCTCAGTTATAAAGAATAACTTTTATAATTTGATGATAATGACAATTACTGACTGAACTAATGTTAATATAATGAAATGAAAACTAAGGTAGTTTTTTATGATTGATATTCTAGTGCAGGGGTGGCGAACCTTTATGCAACAACGTGCCATTTTTTTCAAAAAACTGTTAATGAGGTCATAGACGTGCCTTCAAATAATTTTGACTTCTTGATTATTGGGAAAATAATAATGCTAAGTATTATCAAATCAAAACTCTTTATTTACTATGAAAAAAAAATATTTTGCAATGTCTCAGTTATACACATAATTCAACTTAAAGTAACATCAGTGGGATGTGAATTCTGTTGTTGCAGATTAGATGACAAATAACTTATATTAGGCTGTAAGATTTTAGTTTAAGCAGGACTGTTAAATTTTTTTTGCTGGCTATTTATTATTGCCTTGTTTTTTATGGTTATTAATTGTTTTTTTTGGCATTAATTGTTAATTTGTTTTGTTAATAATTGTTTTTTTTCTGAACTTTAATTTAATTGTTAATATGCTTCATAGTTAACTTTGTGATCAATGGCGTGCCCAGAATAGTGTGTCGCGTGCCATTGGTTCGCCATCCCTGTTCTAGTGAAATTAAAAATTTATATTTTTTGATGATATATGAGTTTTGTGAGTGTATTTATATGAGAAGCAATTGGGCACGTACTAAAATACTTTTTTTATCATAAGGCTACTGTATGTCCTAACTGCAGAGTTCTCTTACAACCTCTTCTGATGAACTATTCCATTGAGGAGAAAAATGAAGCCGAAGAACTAATAAATTTAGTAGAGGATTTAGATAGGTGCCCTCTATGTGACAACACTGCTTTTTGTGGAATTAAAATTCCTCATGTATTTGTCTACCTACTGTCAGAACTTTCAGCTCTTGGAATTAATGTAAAGTTCTCAGTATCAGATATTAATCCTGAGTTTTTATGATATGTTGCTGTGTATTTAATATTTTAAACATAGTTTTTTATTTATATTTGTTAAAGATTTTGCATTATGTTTTTAAATTTTTTTTTAATGTCTTGGATATTGGACTGCAACAAAATTTAGCCCCATCGTAATACAGTGTTAGTCCTATGTCACTTCACATCGACACCTCCCCCGAAGCGTAGATAGACGTGAAGTTTAACACTGCATTTTCATTTGAAACTGGAGTGGCATATGTTTTCCCTTGAATTTTAATAACAAAATTTTTTTTAATATATTGAGGGCTTTATTTGGGTAGAAAATAATCGATTTGATTTAATAGCATCATTTATTTTTAGTTTTTGGCTTGTTAAATTGTAAAAAAAGATTAATTATGTTTTTCGCTTTATTTTGTATTTGGTTGCGAAAGATGATAATTTTTATGGTTATTTCGTCATCATATGAAGTTGAACTAATTCACTTTTCGTCAAATTTTTTATTGGCTTAATTTTAATTTGTTAATGAAATCAAAATTAATTGAGTGAGATAAAAAGGCTGTTGAAGCTATTCATGTGGGTTTATAGTTCAGAAAATAATTAAAAATGTAAGCACAAAATAATAATAATGGAGATTTTTCTTCAAAAAAATGTTCTTTATCAGTTAAAGACTGCTTGGTTCTATGTAATATGTAACGAACGACTCATATGTATATCTCATATGTTACAATAGTCTCGTATAATCTTATTTTGAGAATATTTAATTTTTTCACAATTAGAATTTTAGAGAAAGATTAAGATATTCAGATAATATATAGACTTAATATGTTATGTTTTTTAAACAGTTTTTTTTTTTTTGTAGAAATTATTGAATAATTATTATCCTATTATAAAATTTTCCATAAAAAAGAAGGAGATTCATATTATATTTTTTTGCTTATAATAATGAAATAAACAAAGTTTTTAGAGAAAAAAAATTATGTTTTAAAGACAGTTTTGCTCATTTAAAATAAATGGATTATTTCCTATTTAAACTTACTCCTTAATGTGATTAAATGAGCTATTGAATCATAAAAATATGACGAGAAACATGCATCACTTTGCGCTTAATGGGAAATGCCATATTAAGGATTGTGTTCAAGACAATGTTTGGAACACTGAGAGGAAGGGGATGATGGTCCACGTCATGATCTACGTCATCACTAATCCTGTCTATACATAATAAAACTTGAGACTATTATGTCATCAAACCAAAAGAATATTGTTTGTTTTGTTTTTTTTAAACTTAAATTTGTTTTATTATGAAGTCACTATTGTTTGATACAAATTTTAAAAGCTAATGGATGTGTTGATGTTTTTTATGCTTCATAAATCAAAGTAAAGCTTTTAATCACTGTGTTTTAATGTGTTTATATTTATGTACAATTACGATAATTTACATATTTAAATGTTGATCCCAAATTGAAATCAGTGAAGGGTATTTTAAATAATAGCACAATTATTTCTCTGTTATTCAATGAAAACCAATTTTCAGTGGGGTAATTTATATAAATTCCTCATAACATGTAATTCCTTGTAATAAACATTATTTTCTTTTCACAAAATCAATTTTTCCAATTGTTATCACAAGTAAAGTGACAAATAGGATAAATTACATATGTATAATTATATTACTGCCAGTGCTTGCTGTTTTTACCAGAATTAGGGCACTTCAATAAATAATTTACTGTGCAATTTTCAGTAATTTGAATGGGGGGGGGGGAGAATTATGCTTTTCTTAAAATTAATAAATAAATATGCTATTAAGAACAGTGGACATTTTTTTAAAAGGATGATTTTTGAAAAAAGGATTTATTCACATGTCTTAAATTCTACTCTTGTTCTTTATGAAAACTCTATAATATGTTATTGTATTTATAATTATATTATAAATGAAAGCAAAGTATATTCCTACAATACACATAAGTCATCTCTTAGCAACAGAGTTAAAATCAAACTTGTCTACCTTAAAAGTGCCCGAAAATTAATGTCCTTCTTAAATACAACTCAAAAAGTTTAAGATTATCAGAATGTCACAATTCATATCAAATGACAATTAAAGAGGACACAATTTACTAAATGACTTTTATTTTGATCTTGAAGATTTTTATCTCTTTGTGGTGATATTTTATGATAATTTTTTATGTGCCAAATGTTTTTGAAATGTCTTTGTCACACTGCTCTCTAAAGCAACAGTACTTTTTCAAAGCTGCTTTGTTGTCCTTCAAACACACAATTTTAGATGACCTATTAAATCTTTTTTAGTGCATGTTGTTTGTGTATAAGTAAGAATTTATTATATAGATAAAAAAAAAGCTTATTAAGCATTGCTAATGCTTATTTAAATAAACTTATATTAATGTGTAATCACTTTTATGATAGAAATATATATCTTCAGTTTTGAACTCTAATTGTGTTATTAATACAAATGAACCTGGAATATAGTGAACGTTTTTAGTGGTCCTGTCTGAACTTTTATTTAGTATAAAAGAATTGTAATATAAAATAGATATGTTATTTCAGACCCTCATGGTGAACAGCTGAAATATTGGTCGTTTATGAGATTTTTAGTTTATAAGATAAATAATAATGAATTTTATTTAAAACTGATGTAATACCCATCATAGAAGAGTGTTGAAAATTAGTTATTTTGTTGAAATGAATTATAGGAGTATTACCAAAAACAGACAAACAAAAGAGTGAATTACCTTTTTTTTCTCCTATCGTTTAAATGATTTTTAGTCATGCTTATTCAAGATTGGTTTCTTAACGCACATCTCTTGCAAAAATGTTGTTTTTTTTTCTTTCGACGATTTAGAAATATACTATACAGTTCTCAAATCAATGCTGTTAGTGTAAGCAATATCATTGTAAGACTATTAAAATTAATGCAAGCCAATAACTTGATCCTTCTTGAACTCTTTTCTGCTTTCGGTTTTTAGTTATAATAGTTTTGATATTTCAAATAAAATTATACTATTGCACTATTATAGAAATTACTAATGTGACATTACATTGCTGCTTTTTTGTGACCAGTCAATATAAATTGCAGCATTTACCTTGGTACTCTGCCAGCAGTTCCCAAGAGGATTACAGGGGCTCCAAAAGTTAGAATTTTTTTCTAACCAGAAATGATTATATTTAATATGCAATCAACAATTCATAATTTGTTTAATATTTCGGTTGTTTTTATGAAATTATTTATGTAAAATACGAATGAAAAAAAATAGCAGTATTTCGGATAAATCATGAAAAAAATATGCATTTATAAAAAAATCATTATTTCTCATCGAGCTTTTTTCAAAAAATAAAACAATGGGATTAAGTTTCTCTGATTACTATTCTCAACATTTATAAAAGTTATTTTTTTATAGCTTATGTATATACCAAGAACAAATTCATAATATTAAAAATGTCACTCTTCACATAATATATTTTTAAATTAATAGTCCTCTTTTTTTTTTTTTTTTTTTTTTTTTTTTTTTTTTTTTTTTTTTTTTTTTTTTTTTNTTTTTTTTTTTTTTTTTTTTTTGTTAGTATATTCTCAGCTACTAACAAGCTTTTTTTTATAATGCTGCAGTGTTCGATCATTTCTTAACAGAAAAAATCAGGAACCACTGCCCTATGCTATTTATTTGCTATTGCTATGCTATATATTCCTTAAGATTATACATTATTATTTCATTACATTATCCCAATATATATATGAATAATTTTCCTTCAAATTTGTTATTACTTTTTATTGTGATAACCTTGTGATTGTGTAAATATGCAATGTTTTTAAATTTGTTCAGATTATATATATTAATGAAATAAAAGTACCTCTATGATTTTTATATAATTTTAGTTCTTATTTGCAAGTATAAAATTAAAATAAAACCCAAGCTGCAGCCAGAGAGTGAGACCATCAAGCAGGCTTCCTCTGAAATGTGTCAATATCTTTCTTCCAGAACAGGGGTTTCCGACTTACATGAGGCCGGGGGCCGCAATCAAAACACCAGTCAAATGGCTGGCCGCAACTCTGTCAACGTTTTATATAGGACTCTTATGTTTGAAGGAACATTAAATATTACTGTCAGATTTATATCAAATTGTACAAAAAAAACGTAATGAATTACAAATTAAAATAAGAATTAGATTTTTAAGCAACATGCAGGATTAATTTTGTATTTGAATAAATATTTCCTTGGCTACAAAACCTGAGAAAAAAAAATTTTTGCACCGTTGGTATGTTATATTTCACTGAAACGAAATTAGTTTTTTTTAACGAAAGAAAAGTATTTTAAACCCATATAGATTTTTTACAAAATTTGTCCGTAAAAAATGACAACTAATATATTTTAGTTCGCGGGCCATTAGTTTGTAACCACTGGTCTAGAAAATTAAGTTAATCTTTTAAATAATACATAAATTTAAATGGTTTATAATATTACAGATATGAAGTAAGAGACTGGTAAGTGACATTTTAGTGAACTTGAGTAAACAAGCTTTCAAGTTTTTGCCTTGTTTTCATGGAGAATTTTAAATGATTTTCAATTAATATTATTTTGTTAAAAAAAATTTTTAAAAAAAGCATATATTTAAGATAATCATGAAATAAAATTTAGCAACCTCAATTTGGGACACTGGCTTCAAGTTTTGCCTTGTTAATTCAAAAACAGTCCAAAAAGGATTTAGAAGCAGCGTGAGCTTAACATTCGCTGAGTAATTGTTGAGTATTTATCATTTAAATTGGTTTAAAAAAGAATTCTTTTAATTAGTGCTGCTTGTGGTCAAAATGTTATTTTGTTGCATCTGAAGATATGTCTTAAGACTAAATAAAAGTATTTTTTTAGTTTTAATACAAAAAATATCTATAGCTGTTGAAACACATAAATTATTTCCAATTTTTTCATAGAAAATGAACAGTCATTGCATGAAAAAATTAAATTTATAAAATTGTTTAGAAAACTGTTTTTGGCAATCGAAAAAAGATTATGGTATCTTTCACGATCATGATTTGTTAAGTGGCTCTCATTTCTCATAATTTAGAT